ATTTTCCTAGCTATCTTTTTTCCATGTTTTTATTTATTTTAGAAAGAAGATGGTGGTGGGGAGATAGAGCTAGAGAAACATTGCTGGGTTGCCTCCTGTATGCACCACAACCAGGGATTGAACCAGCGACCTTAGACACTCAACCAACTGAGCCACATGGGTCAGGGCTTCCTGGCCAGCCATCAGGGCCTTCCAGCTGCCAGCTGGGGCCTTCCTTTGTTCCACGCCGCCCCCTGGTGGTCAGTGCATGTCATAGCGAGCAATCAAACTCCAGGTTGAACTCCTGGGGGGACACTTTGCATGTTAGCCTTTTATATATATAGTCATCAGGTTGTACATTACATCCTGTGACCAACTTATTTTATAACTGGAAATTGGTACCTTTTGACTACCTTTGTCCATTTTGTCCATAAGGCAATCAATCACCAGTCTTTTCTGTCCATACCATGAGCTTGGGGTTTTATGTTTTCGTTTTAGATTCCATATATAGGTGAGATCTTACAGTAGTTCTCTTTTGGTGGACTTATTTCACTTACTGCCTTCATGGTTCATCCATGTTGTTGCAAATGCAAGATTTTTCTTTTATTTTTTGCTGTTGAGTTGTATGCATTCTTTACAGATTTTGGCTATTAAGCCTCTTTCGCTTAGTTCTATCCATTTAAAAGTGGGACCTTATAGTCTTCAGTTATTGTTGAATTGTCTATGTCCCTCCTTTCTCTTCTCTACCCTTAATATGTTTTGAGGCTCTGTTATGTTGTGCCTATATACTTATGATTGTTAATGTCTCTTGATAAATGGGCCCTTTGATTGTAGACTATTCCTCTTTTATCTTGAGCAGTCCTTTTGTCTACAATTTTATTTTCATAAATGTGCGGCCACTCTAGCTTTCTTATGGTTGCTGTTTTGCATGATGCTTATTTTGCAACCAATTTGTGTCCTTGGATCTAAAATCTGTCTCCTGTTGACATTGTGTGATTGAATGTTCCTTCTTCAATTCCAGCTTCTCTCTCCATTGTGATTGGACCCACTCACGTTTCATGTCATTGTTGACATAACAGTATTTACCCCGTTATCCACAGGGGACACCCCCAGGTGCCTGCAACCACCAATTACATACCAAGTCCTATATGTGCTGTGTATCCCATTGGAGCCGTTTGATTGGCATTTCCCGGAGGCTAGTGATTGTGTGCTTCCGGCCCATTTCTGTATCTTTGGAGAAATGCCTCTTCGGGTTCTTGGCCTATTTCTAAATTGGATTGTCTTTTTATTGGAGTTGTAAGCATTTTCTTAAGTTTCAGATGCAAGTCCCTTATTTAGATTCATGGTTTAGAATTTGTTTCTCCCATTCTGTGGGTGGTTTTTTCATGGCCTTAACTTGGACTTGTGTCCAGTTTATAACAATATGATAAGAATGGTGAGTCCTGTGCTAATGATAACATTATTGGTGTTGGAAAACGTGCTGGTGGAGTTGGAGAATCAGGCCTTGATGTGAGCAAAAGCTAGGTTTTAACATCGCTCTGGACTCCGCTGTGGAAAACAGTTCGCTGCTTTTTAAAATCCACTATGTGAAAGCTCACCTCCTGTTGCACAGTAGTTCTGGAACATTCTTGTATTTGCCACATCTCTCAGGAATATGGCTGTTGCGTTTTAGAAGTAAAGTCTGTGGTGCGTAGCCATTAGAGATGACTTAGAATTAACATGGGGACATCATAAAAGTGAGAGTCCAGTTTTAGAAAAAGCGTTTCTTCCTGATTTTCCAGCATCACGGGTGCATGGCCTGGATGTTAATAGTGGCTTTGTCTGTTGTGGACATTTCATATAAGTGGCATCACCTACTACGGCCCCTTTTGTGACTGGCTCTTCCCCTCTGACTGCCTGGCTATCGCCCCAGTTTCTTTTCTCCTGAAACGGGGCGCTTGCAATAGAGCCCCACACAAAGCAAACACTGCCGTTAGCTCTCTAATGACCCTCAGTAAGAACAATGTGTGGAGAAGGATTGGCATTGGTGTTGGAAAAGTAAGTGATGGCTGACTGTGGATGCCCTTAAATGCAGTTCTGGCAGAACAGGTGGAACAGGTGGCAGGAGCTGTCTCAGAGGTTGCCCTGGCTGCTGTTCGCTTTGGGCCCTGGAGGGTGGGCGTGGGAGTGGGACCCATAACACTGATGCGGACTGGAAGGGTCTGCCTTTGTTGTTGTTTTCCCGACCCATGCCAGCCCCCCACTTTAGTTTGAGCACTTGCTGTGTGCCAGTGAGTCCCTGGCATTCTGTTCAGCCCAGTTCTGGCCTGGTGGAACGTGGCGCTTTGGGGGGGGAGGGGGACATCACGCAGATGCGATGAAACAAGAGAACCCCGGGTAGGAGTGGACACAGTGAAGTCCTCTCAACTACTCTCAGGAGGTTCTAGGACCTGAAGGAAACAGTGTAACTGAACCCACCTTACCATCCACTGGACTTGGCTGCTGCGGTGGGAGAATTGGGGCTGAGCTGGTGCCAGGTAAACTGGGGTTTGACCAAGCTTCAGGGTTCTGGGGAGAGATTCTAGCCTCTAAGGCCCATTTGAGCAGAGAATGGTAACTGGGCAGGGAAGGAGCCTTCTTCGTCCTGGGGGTCTCTGGTGTTAAGGACTTCCCATTGAAAGCTGCTAGAGAAAGCCAGTTTTCAGCAAAGTGTGACATAGCCAGTAAGTGGCTTCCTTATTTCAAATACATAGTGCCAGCCTGGCGGCTCAGTCAGTTGGAACATGGTTAGGAGGTTGTGAGTTGAGTCCTGGTCAGGAGGCAGCTGGTGGATGTTTCGCGCCCCCCCTCCCTCCCTAAGAGAACAAACATGGTGGCAATCTTGATCCAGGTGAGGGTGTTTTTCCCATGGTGGGGGAGGGGGATGTGGAGGTGCTAAGTTTGAATATGAAAAGATGCCATGTGGGTTAAATGGCATTGATTAAGAAATGTAACAGTATTATTCTTGCATAACTTAGTCGCACCATATCTTTGGTAAAAAATGTTTGGGTCCAGAAGTTACTTTAATGGGTTCAGTGGGCTTTTGTTTTTTTTTTTAGTCTCCTCAGATGATTTTACAGATTTGACAAATTTCTTACTCTTAAGTCTCCCAAGCTAGCATCCGGAGGGAAAAGGGGTGGTGGCAGCCAGTGTGGTCAGGGCACTGGTGATCCGGGGTCAGACCTTAGTCCCCTCCCCCAGATGTCCATGCCCACAAAGCTTTGTGTGGGGTTTTATGGGAGTGAGCCTTCAAACCGTCCAGCCTTCAGTTAAGGCAACTGGCAGCTCACAGCGTTGGTAGCTTAGACACAGCAGTAGATGAGGGAATGGCAGAAGTGAAGGGGGAGATAGACAGGCTTTTTAAGGTTTTTTGAAAAGGGAGGGCAGAGCTTGGTTTTTTTGTGTGTGTTTTTTGGTTTTTGGTTTGTTTTTTTCCAGAAAGGAAGGGCTCCAGCATAGGTCTAGGCTACGGACAAAACATGCAGGAGAAGCTGAGGGGGTGCTCGGGGTATGCCCACTGGAGGTGGAGGGGTGGGGGAGCATACAGGGCCATTTTGAGTCCAGGTGGGGGAACAAGTGGAAGAGGTTGGAGCAGATTGGAGTAGAGAAGGATGGAGGTAAGCTGGTTAGCTGATGTTTGGAGTGGCAAGGAAAATGTTCAGATAAATTGCCAGCGGACCAAAATAGCTAAAGATAGGTGAGTTTCTTCAGGCTTTTAAGATCGTCTATTCACATAACTTCTGGTAATGTAGGGTGCGTAAAAATGGAAAACAAAAGTGAGAGCTTGCTCAATCATGTAATCTTTTGTTTTTCCACTTCACATATGACAGATTTTTCTGTCTGCCTTTAACCCATCAGTACTTAAGCTTTTTTCCTGTTGACAAGTGAAACAAAAATCTCGTTAGAACCCCGTCTCTTGATTGAGTGATTGTGTTTGATTGTGATTGTGAGGTGTAAATGTTAGGCTGTTCTGGGGTAGGGGACGTGCTGGCCGCTTTACTCACAGCAGGATATACCTATAGCCAATCGGCTACAGTTCTCAGTCAATTGGCACATTAAAATCCATTTCTGGGTAGGTTTTTTTGTTATCTAACCCTTGCCTGAGGATATTTTTCCCATGGATTTTTAGAGAGAGTGGGAGAGAGGAAGAGGAGAGAGCAAGAGAAACATCTATGCTATATGATAATCCATTCAACCTGGAGAGGGGCTTGGGTGTCAGCGCTCATTAAAGCCCCTCAGAGGATGTCCCTGTGCAGCTAAGGATGAGGCCCTGGGTCTAGAATTGGGGGCTGGTGGCCCAAAGTGGGGTGTCGTGGTCATTGGCAGTTGATCACTTGACAGATTCATCTGCATTGGAGTAATAGCATAGAGGTTGAACCTTGGAAGAAATGGTTCCCAAAACTTTACAGTTAGTTCAAACCACTGGTAAGCTTGTTTGAAACCATTTGGTACCAGTGATGAGTGCTGGGTGTGCAGTGCTTCCTGAGAAGTCTTTCCAGTCAGGTTTTGTTCCCTTCGTTTGTCTTGAGCAAACACATTTGGCAGTGCAATTAAGGCAGTGGTCGGCAAACTCACTAGTCAGCAGAGCCAGGATATCAACAGGACATCGATTGAAATTTCTTTTAAGAACCAAATATTTTAAACGTAAACTTCTTCTAACGCCACTTCTTCAAAATAGACTCGCCCAGGCCGTGGTATTTTGTGGAAGAGCCACCCTCAAGGGGCCAAAGAGCCGCATGTGGCTCGCGAGCCACAGTTTGCCAACCACTAGTTTAAGGCATTAGTGAATTGAAGACAGTTGCGTTTCCTTGATGTAACCGCTGATGCGCTGCCGTGGTTTATTGAGTTAGATATAGTGTTAATGAGACTTGAGCGTCTCACTTTGCACTCTCATCTCTGTAACTACCTTCTCCTGGCTGATTTCACTGGTGACTTAAGTGGGAGCGATTCCTTAATGCATGTTTGTTGTGTCTAAAACAGGTTCCTTTTTCTTCTACTTGTAGGTTATGCAATGGTCTGTTCAGGATGGCTTGTTCTTGAATTGGATCTTCCGAAGACTGACAGATGCTGGTACTTCATCTTCTATAAGTGGACTCTGATTTCTTTTCTCAAGACAACTACATAAGCAGACAAAATTGCAAAGATCTGCCCTGTGTCGAGTATGACAGCCACGACTCGTGGCTCTCCAGTAGGAGGGAATGACAACCAGGGCCAGGCTCCCGATGGCCAGGCTCAGCCCCCCCTCCAGCAGAATCAGGTAGGACTCTGAGGGGGCTCTGCAGAGTTCATTGATACGTCGTCTGTGGGATACTTAACGAATGGACCGTGTTCTGTGGAATTGGTGAAGCAACCATAAACCCTTTTTAGAGAAGTCCATGTTAGCTGTCGCACGCAGGAACCAGAAAGCTCACGTGTTGGAGATGGTGACACTGGAGTCTGTAGTCCTTCTTTTTCTGGTGTCTTACCCTGTGGGTCAGTCAGATGAAGTATATAAAGCCCTGGGTCAATGCTGGAGGAAAGGCTCGGCTCCTGCTGCTGGTGTTCCGCTGTTAGCTGTGCACCATTCCAGCTTTATGGCCCTGGGTTACTGGTGTCAGAGAGTAGGCATTCTCTCTAGTACAAGTGTAATCAAACAGAGCTGCGCAAAACCTGGCCGGTGTGGCTCGGTGGATAGAGCTTCGGCCTGTAGACTTGAAGGGTCCCAGGTTCGATTCCTGTCAAGGGCACAGACCTCGGTGGCAGGCTCCTCCCCAGTGTGGGGTGTGCAGGAGGCAGCTGATCCTGATTCTCATCATTGATATTTCTAGATATCTGAAGTCAATAAACGTACATTTTTAAAAAATAAGGAAAGGCCCTAGCCATTTTGGCTCAGTGAATAGAGCATCGGCCTGTGGACTGAAGGGTCCCAAGGTTCAATTCCAGTCAAGGGCACATGCCCGGGTTGCGGGCTCAATCCCCAGTAGAGGGCGTACAGGAGGCAGCCAATCCATGATTCTCTCTCATTGATGTTTCTTTCTCTGAAATCAATAAAAATATTTTTTTAAAAGAAAGAAGGAAAAGAGCTGCACGTGAATTTTCCCCTCTCCCTTTCTTCCTCTCCCCCTGCCATTTTAGAGAAGTGAGCAGGTCATATTTTCCCAAATGTGTCAACTTTATTTCTCTTTCCAGTCCCCTCTTTTAAGACATAAAAGTACTGAAGTACATGGTCACAGGTGTTGACAGAGTTAAGTCGCCTGTGTCATGAATTTGTTAGCCAGTATTCAGGTTTCTTTAAACATAGTCTAAGGTTGGGTGCCAAAGAGTTCTATTTTTAAACCGGGAGCTAGTAGTAAGTTCGAGTATCTTTTGCTACCTTTTGTCCCAAGTTTATACCTGTGTTGTGCATGGATTCCTAAAGTCTTTTGCAGTGTTTATGGCTTGTGTGGCTTTAAACAAAATTAAACCTGTATTCTAACCTTATTTTTATTTAAGGTTTCCCCTTTTTTTTTTTTTTTTTTTTTACTTGATTTCAGAGAGGGAAAGAGAGACATCAGTGATGAGAGAGAATCATGGATTGGCTGCCTCCTGCACGCCCTCTACTGGGGATTGAGCCCGCAACCTAGGTATGTGCCCTTGACCGGAATTGAACCCTGGACTCTTTAGTCTGCAGGCCCTGTCCACTGAGCCAAACCAGCTAGGGCTAAGGTGTTCTTAATAATTCTTAGAGCTCTTGGGTTTCAATTTATTGTCATGTGGTATTCCATTTAATATTATAATTCCACATTATGTTCTTTTCTAATCTTTGCAATTTGGAAAATGATGGTTTAAACAACAAAGGAACAAAATAAATTACATTCTTAACTATCTGTCAAGTCCCTTTCATTTTTCTTCTCTACTTCCAATGTTAGAATTTTAGTTTCAGTATTTCACAAGATTTGACACTGTCGGACCAAGAAGAAGGAACTATAGCATTAATCACTCCCCAACTTTGAGTTTTCTTTTGGGATGTGCTTTTTATGTTTTGGCATTAAAAGAATTGCTAAAATCCATCAGGTGTTTTTCACTTCACGTTTTTTTAAAGGGTGTTCCCTCCGGGGGAATTCTGGGCTCCGGTGTGGAGTAGCGCTTGGTGGCACATGAAATAGCCTTGGCAAAAGCACTGGCTCAACAAGCTTGGGTGCTGCTGCTGGGCCGGTGCGCTTTTCCGGGATGGAATTGGGCAATGGCACACGGAGCAGCACTGAGAAATCGTCTCTGCTATTGCAGTAATTCTCCGCCCAGGATCCCAGCCTGAGCAAAGATTGATGAATAAGAAGATTCATTGCAGCTCTGTTTATCTGAGCAATAAAAATTGCAAAATATTAAATAACCTTTTACTTGTTTAATTCTTTTAATGCTATATGGCATTAAACTTTTTATAAAAGATTCTTAATGATGTGTAGGAAAAGACAAATGTCAAATGGAAAGACACAGGCTTAAACAGGTATCCTAATGTTACTGAAATTTATACATTTGTAAGCGGGGTTTTTTTGCTCATAGAACAAAAGATTGGAAGGAAATTATTTTAAATGTTGGTGCTTATCTGTTCTATTACAGGTATTTTAATTGTTATTTTTGTCTATAATTTCTTTTTCTTTTTTTTAATCAATCTTTATTGTTCATATTGTTACAAAGGTTCCTCATTTCTTCCCCCCTCCACCAGGTTCCCACCCCACCCTCCGCCCCCTCCCCATCCCCCATTGTCCTCATTCATAGGTGCAGTTTATGTTCAGTCTCTTCCTCCCTCCCTTTCCCCGATAGTAAATCCCTTTTCAGATAGTAAATCAGTTACTTAGCATTTTCTCATATCAATAATACCACCACATGCCCCCAATGATACATTTCACACAAAAGACATTTCCAAATAGGTCAACCAGCCTCATCCAGGCCCCACCCAAGGTACTCACAGATCAACACCCCAGCCCTATACTAACTCAACACATCCAGATCTAAGCCTTCATCACTTGATTCAGCAGACCCTCAAGTTCCCACAAAAGTTTCCAGCCATGTCTGAGAGGCAGCCATGGGGCAGGGGCAGGCGAGGAGCGAGCTGTTCCAGGCCTGCCTGCTCCGGGCCTGGCCTCTGTTGCTCTGGTTCGTTCCACAACCAGCTGCTCCGGGCCTGGCCGCACCGCACCCGGCTGCTCCGGGCCTGGCGGCTCCCAGCCTGGCAGCCGCTGCTCCAGGCCTGGCCTCACCAGACCCGAGTTTTTTGTCTATAATTTCTAAGAGCATGTATAATATATAGGGATGGGCAAAGGTAGGTTTATAGTTGTGAGTACGTGAAAGTTTATTTATAATATATATACTAGGTGAGAGGAAAGAGGCTTTAAAAAAATACTAAACCAGTTTTCCTGAGACTTTAAGGTTCTAAAAGTTTATTAGGTTGTGAAAGTATACACAGCTGAAGTAGGGTGAAGAGAAAGATGAGCTAAAAAGGAAGAATGAACGAATAAAATTAGCTACATCAGGTGAAAATGATGTGATTTATTTAGAAACCATAATCATGAAGTTTTAATAGTTTTTGGATAATGATCTTGAGACTAGGGAAAGTATGGAATAAAATATATTTTTTCTCTCCAAATTAAAAAATAAGATGTCAGAACTTTTATTATTTGTGTAATAAAGTATGTCGGGGTGGGAAGTGTAAACGGAACAGCAGTATACATTGTGATTAAGAATACAAATTGCAGAATTAGATCTGGGTTCAAATCCTGACCAGAGTTGGTGCTTTGTAACCTTGGGCTAATTAATGATTGTCTGAGGGTGTTTTTCCATCTATGAAATGGCAGACTTCTTCCTTTGGCTGTTGAGAATTAAATGAAATAATAATAATAATTATTATTATTATAATTATTATTGATTTTCCACAGAGAGGGATAGAGAGTGAAATTATTTTGAAGCATAGTGGCACGGAGACTGCCTTAAACCTAAGCTTACAATACTTACGTCGTTTCCCCCTAGCTGGTGTTGGTGTTTGAAGTATTAGACGTGGCACATACATTGTACTAAGCTCAATCTGGAATTGTTAATTTTCCAGACGTCATCGCCTGATTCTTCCAATGAAAACTCCCCGGCAACTCCCCCAGATGAGCAAGGTCAGGGCGATGCTCCCCCCCAGCTGGAAGAGGAGGAGCCTGCGTTTCCGCACACTGACCTGGCCAAGCTGGATGACATGATCAATAGGTGAGCTGGTTTGGCTTTGAGTGGGTGTGACACAGGCAGAGCACCCAGGCCTCGGCATAGTGATGGTAGCAGAGAAGAAGAGAAAGAGTGGACAGGATGCCACAGTAACCACACGGCCTCCTTAATAGCCTGACATTGGCAAGTAAGTCATTGTCAAGTACTTAGAACCTGTGGTTCTTAATGGCTTTTAAAAATGAAAGGGCGCTGTGCCAATCATTTTCAGATGGATCGCAACCAGAGCCAGTAGGCTTCTGAGGTAGAGCTGTACGCGTGATGGCCCTTTTTGAGATTTTATGAAGATTTCTTTCCTTACTGGTATATTGGTTGCTAGGTGACGTGAATGATTTTTGCATGGCCCTGAGGTAAACCAGGCCATAAAGAGATCTAGCTGGTCTGGCGCCAGAGAATCCAGCACAAGAATGCTGCCTGCCTCCTGGTTTGGGGGAGGAGCGGGTGGGGTACTGGAAGCATGTAGTAAATTTGGAGACTTCCTTCTCAGCCTTCAGGAAAAGGTGACAAAGTGATGAATCAAAGCAGAAATCAATCATTGCCTCCCATTTTTTTCTTCTTTGCAAGAAAATTGAAAACAACTAAGTAGTGATTCATCATAATGTCTCCTAATCTGAATCCTGAAAGAGCGCTTTCCCACAAACTCGAACAATAGCTTATCCATTTAGTTGACATTTGATTATTGCAGTAGGTTTATATTCTATTAGTAAAATAATTTTATTTCTCCTCGTGCTCATAGCTATATCTTTTGTTTGACAGTTCCTTAAAAGTGTTAGAAAACAAGTCTCTCAGTGCAGATATTCCGCCGACCTTGTTTTAATATTTTAACGTTACTTGAATATTTAGTATTTCCATGCTTACATATTATAAGTAGTAGCTCATTTATAGTGCCTCTTTTAGTGCACTAATAAACATCTTTTTATGTTTTTAAAACTCTTAGGCCTCGGTGGGTGGTTCCAGTTTTGCCGAAAGGGGAATTAGAAGTGCTTTTAGAAGCTGCTATTGATCTTAGTAAAAAAGGTGAGTTTCGGTGTTGGTATGCTTTCTACAGTATGTGCTGCTACACAGCCTCTCACTTCGTCGCTGCACACTTGAGTTTTCCTCTTTCACATCTAAAGGGGCTTCTTGCCATGGCTTCTGGTAATATGCCCAGAGCAAGGGTTTGAGTCCTTCAGGGTGTTTGTAAATTCTGAAGTTAGACATAAAGTCTGTGTATGTGCATATTTAAAGCAAGCTGCCTAACTTAAAAATTTTTTATTTAATACATAGAAAAAGTTTGATTTTTCTCTAAAAAAGTTGAAAGATGAGGTCAGTTTTTTGTGTGTGTGTTTTTTTTTTTCCAATAAGCCAAGAAAAAGGAATCTGGTCTTTTTATTCTGTTATCTAGAAGTAAATACTTAATGTTGGAATTAATCTTTTTCCCCCAATAACTTTGGTCTACTTACTCTACTAGGTGCAGTTGAATTCTCCTTAGCAAAGGATGACTGTTATAGTATTCTCTATTCACTTTTTTAGGAATTGGAAATTCAAATAAAGGGCAGTTACGTTTTTTAAAATAAATATGTTTTTATTTATTTCAGAGAGGAAGGGAGAGGGAAAGAGAGAAACATCAATTGTGAGAGAGAATCATGGATTGGCTGCCTCCTGCCCGCTCCGCACTAGGGATGGAGCCTGCCACCCGGGCATGTGCCCTGACCGGGAATCGAACTGTGATCTCGTGGTTCGGAGGGGTCAACCACTGAGCAACACTGTCCAATCAGGCAGTTATATTTCCTGAAATAGAGTTTTGGGATTGAAATAGGGTAACCATGAATATGTTCTAATTGTCGGAAGATATAAATAATGTAATAAGCTATGAAAACGCATGATCAGATTACAATTATTTTCCACTGCTCAAGTATTTGATGTTCATGTACACGTTTATTAATTCAGATTTATAGAGACTTCTGTCCTTAGTGTGGTTTAGGCGCTGGACACGTATATCCTCACATCTGTATTTCTTCTCTGGAACTATCTTAGGGGAGGTTCATATTTGTTTTTAAGTACAGTACTGGTTTTAATTGTCATTTCTTTTATATAATTAAAATCCCAACGCTCTAGTCGGGCTTTGTTAGCTGTCAGTGACTAGTTGATAATTGCTTATTACCTTTTATCATATAATTGGACATCATAAGACAAGCAGAGCAATATCTTGTTTACATTAGTTTTTCCCCCTTTTTCTTAGGCCTTGATGTTAAAAGTGAAGCATGTCAGCGATTCTTTCGAGATGGGCTCACAATATCCTTCACTAAAATCCTTACAGACGAGGCAGTGAGTGGCTGGAAGTTTGAGATTCACGTGAGTCTTGCATTTGACTTTTAAAAATTCAGATTTACATAGTGATACTTGTATTTCTCATTCACACACACACATTTGGTTATATATATTTGATCCTTTGGTTGAATTTAAAAGGTTTGAAAATGCAAACCTTTGAGAATCCTTTTTATAAGTTATAGTGTCTACTGAAGGAAGCGTCGTCATTGAGAACGAGCATGCGACTGAGATTTAGGAAACTTTGGTTTAATCAGTGACCTTAGGAGTCACCGCATTTCAACGATGCTCCCAATTGCGAGATGCTCTGCTGGTTCTTTAAGTGCCACTCTGGGAGAAGCATGCTCAGGTGGGGCTCTAGCAGCTGGGACACAAAGGGTTAATGCAGACATAGACTTGCCACACAGAGACAGCAAAGAAACCTGCGTGCCTCCACCTTAGCGCGTGGTAGAGGTGAAAACGGAAAATTTGAACCACAGGCCGGCATTCAAACATATTTGTAGTCTTGATTTCAAATTGTGGTTGTGGTACAAAAAAATCCTCTGATGGAGAATTGAAGGCATTCTCTATGGACACCCTCTGTCCAGCAGAGTGTGCCGTAACTACAGATGTTTGCTTTGGGGCTTAGCCAATCTGCCCCACCTTGGATAATTGCTGTATTATTTCGATTTTAGAATTGCTGCCTCTAGTATATAAATTCCAAAGAGAAAACAGTGGTGATTTGCATCTACTTTATAATTTATATAGTACCTACAATATTAGTGAACTGTCCAAAGAACATCACAACATACTTAATGAAGATCAGAAAGTATTTGGAATTGCAGTGTTTCGATCTTCTAAATCACCTTTCCCCCTTATATAACAGAGGTGTATTATCAATAACACTCATCGCCTGGTGGAACTATGTGTGGCCAAGCTGTCCCAAGACTGGTTTCCACTTCTAGAACTTCTCTCCATGGCCTTAAATCCTCATTGCAAATTCCACATCTACAATGGTACCCGCCCGTGTGAATCCGTCTCCTCAAGTGTTCAGTTGCCTGATGACGAACTCTTTGCCCGTTCTCCAGACCCTCGCTCACCAAAAGTGCGTTGGTTTGTCATTTTCTCAGTTCAGTGTTAGTTGCTTTGCTGTGCATAGACCTTGAAGTGATCGGACCTCCCAGCAGCATGGGGAGGAATGATTTAATACGCTCTTTAAGAGGTCTGCGTTATTTTGTGTTTGGGGGTTTCTTTTCCCGCTTTATTGAGGTGTAATTGACAAAGTAGTTTTGGACTGGATTTTTGTAAGCTTTCCCTGTGTAGTTAGTCCCCATTGTTCTGCCCAGCCTCTTGGGAAATTGTGCTGATTTGGGTTAAAAGTCAAGTTACAGAAATGATAAATGAAAGGAAAAAGAGTAAAACATCAGTATCCGTGAAATAGTATACATAAATGCAATTATGTAAAAGTTCTCCAATGTAAAGTTTTTATATCAGCATAAACAACGGTGTATACTTTAAGATATATCCCTAACTATATATTCTTATGTAAATATTATATAATTAACAATATAGTTTTAATTTTTAGACGTTGAGGAGACATTTTAATATTGTAGGCCTTATAAATGGAAAAGGCCAGCCAGGAAAATGTGAATTTATGTATGTAAGGGTGGGTTTGTTCTGTTAAAAGTGAAAATGATCACAATGTGCTAAATTTGGAGCTGAGGTTTTCTGATATTTCCCAAGGCCCATATTATCACTACTTCTGGCTTATTTGTGCTTGAGCAAACCAAATTAATTTTGAAATGGTGGCAATCTCCAAAATATACCTGGATTCCTTTCTTTATTTTAGTTTATTTTTTCCTGTGTAGGTCAATAATGATCAGTAAGAAACAGGGAACAACTTAATTTAAGGTGGATTCTAGTGGAAGATATTTTATCTTTCAAGCCTAGCTCTTGAGTGTTAATAATTACTGAGTATTCCTAATTGCGTAAACATGCAACATACATTGCAGCTGGAAACATAAGGGGAGATTATATCAGCCTAATGGTTGCATTCCGATAACTGGAGAGGTAAAAATACATCCTATCAATGTGTGCTTTCTTAGGGTTGCTGGATGCCAAGAGGGACCTGGTGAATTAATTGTTTTGAATTAGCTTATAATACCAAATAAAAAGGTAGGAAGTAATGAATTTATAGAAATATGATAGTTGATTTATTAGAGAATTTAGTTAATTTAGATTCTCATAAGACACATCAGAACTACCCAGAACTCCAGCATATTGTCTCTCTAAATCAGTTACCTTTTACTTAGCATTTTTCATTTTTGCTAGACAGGTCTTTTGGTTTTTCGATAGTGACAGTAATTATTTTCCCTAAGGCTTAGTGAAGAACTGGCTCTTGTTCGCCTCACAGCTTCTAAAATGGCCTTTTAGAAGAAGGCATGTTATAACAGGTTATGTGTACATACATGTTTAGATACATTTGATTCTTATCTCTCTCTAACATTTTAATTCATTTTAAGTTTTTACATGTAAGCACGCTTTTAGCTACATCCCCGTTGGCATTTTACTTTGAGTCACTGCTATTTTTTGGGAAGTGGTTGAAAGACAACCTATACTATAGCATCATGCTGCCATGAGTCAGCAAAAGCACCAGCCTGCATGTGCTAGGCAGGAGAATCAGATGTAATATCAGCGGTTGGTGACCTGTAACAAAAAGTGAATTCAAACATCTTAGTTACTGAATATATTCTGTGTGTGTGTTTAAAGAACATCTTATCCTCGGATTTTTTAAAATATGTTTTCAGATGATAAAATGGTATCTGTTACTGTGAGCATGTGCAGTATTTTGTTCTGTTGGGTTTTTTAAGATGGTTTTACCTAATAATTTTATTGAATTTCTTATTTCTAGTATGTTTCAGTCAAGAAATGACTTCAGCTAGTACCTTTAAACGCAGGAAGTTAACTCTCTTCATTAACTGTATTGCAGGGTTGGCTAGTGGATCTCCTCAACAAATTCGGCACTTTAAATGGGTTCCAGATTTTGCATGATCGTTTTATTAGTGGATCAGCATTAAATGTTCAAATAATTGCAGCTCTTATTAAGTAAGTTATGTTTTAAAATAAATCTTCAGTGCATTCTAGAAATTGCTAGATGACAAATTGAGTTTCTCTTTTCAAGTATGGCTTCTTCTTTAACTGATAACTTGGATTTTTTAAGTTAATATAAATAGTTGAGTTCAGTCCTAGTGGATTGTAAGAAGTCATGTATTACAAGAGTAATCCTTATTGCCTTTCTTATTTCAGACCGTTTGGACAAAGCTACGAATTTCTCACTCTCCACACGGTGAAAAAGTTCTTTCTTCCCATCATAGAAATGGTTCCACAGTTTTTAGAAAACTTAACTGACGAAGAGCTGAAAAAAGAAGCAAAGAATGAAGCTAAAAATGATGCCCTTTCAATGATTATTAAATCTTTGAAGAATTTAGCGTCAAGGGTTCCAGGACAAGAAGAAACTGTAAAAAATTTAGAAATATTTAGGTTAAAAATGATACTTAGGTAAGATATTTACCTCTTGAAACAATTACTTATTGGACACTTAGAATCATACTCAACACAGTTTCTTTTACAGATTATTGCAAATTTCTTCTTTCAATGGCAAGATGAACGCACTGAATGAGGTGAATAAGGTGATTTCCAGCGTGTCGTACTACACTCACCGCCATGGCAACCCGGAGGAGGAAGAGTGGCTCACCGCTGAGCGGATGGCAGTAAGTCCTCGCTGTTCCCCTCATGATGCACCCCAGGCAAAAAAGATAGACTAGTGCTACTCAGTCAGTGCTTGCATTGCAGAGAAAACCTTGCAATGGCAAGGTGTTTGGATTGATTTCTGACTCGGGCAATCCTGAGGACTTGCTGCAATGGCATTGTTTATTGTTTGGTAATGATGTGGGCATCTCAGCACACCTGTGTCAGCTTACCGAGGAAGTAATTATGAGCTTGTTGGGCGGGGTTGGTTGAAAAGGAGGACATGACGATCATCTTGGAAATGGATTGGTCAATATTTGGTACTTAGAGATTTTCAAGTAGTAACTGCAATCGCTAGAATAAGATCTACATGATTTACTGTTGGATCACTTAAAAAACATAAGCACTTAACGTTATATCATTGTGACATTGAAAGTTTAGGAAATCTTATTTACCATACACATTTGTATGTAGGGCATATTCTTACTATTGCTAATTAACACTGCAGTTCATCCATTTCTCTCATCCCCTGCCTCTCGCAACCACCCATCTGTTCTCTGCGCTTGCTTTGGTGTGTGTCTGGCTGGCTCACTGTACTTCACCTAGGCCCCTGGTTGTCACCTATGGTGAGGTTCCACTCTTTCTTGTGGCTGAAGAATACTCCGAGTGTGTGTGCACCGATTTCTCTATCCACGCCGCTCTCGATGGGCACTCAGGCCGATCCCTCACCTTAGCCGTTGTAAGGAATGTTGCAGTGAGCATGCAGAGCTCTCTGAGAGAAGGGCTCATTTCTTTGGAATGTGTGCCCTCTAGTGGGATTCCTGGATCATATGCTAGTTCTGTTTGTTTGTGTTTTTTTAAATATATTTTATTGATTTTTTTTTACAGAGAGGAAGGGAGAGATAGTTAGAAGCATTGATGAGAGAGAAACATCCATCAACTGCCTCCTGCACACCTCCTACTGGGGATGTGCCCGCACCAAGAGCAAGGTACATGCCCTTGACCAGAATCGAACCTGGGACTCTTCAGTCTGCAGGCCGATGCTCTATCCACTGAACCACACCAGTCAGGGCCACTAGTTCTCTTTTTAATGAGCTTCCATCCTTTTCCACACTAGTTGCACAGACTTACATTCCCAACAGCAGTGTGCACGGGTTCTCTTTTATTCCTGTCTTCCCAACACTCCCTGTTGTCTCCCATGATGCACTTGAACAGGTGTGAGGTAGGTTGTTGTGGGTTTGAGTTGCCTTTTCCCTGAAGACTGGCGTTGAGCATCTTTTCATGAACCTGTTGGGGATGTCCTCTTGGGGAAAATGTCTGTTCAGGTCTTCTGCCCATTGTAAATTGGATTGCTTTTTTGCTGTTGAGTTGTATGAGTTCTATGGATCTTTGGGTATTAGCTCTTTAATAGATAACATGATTTGCAGTTATTTCCTCCCGTCCAATAGGTTGCTTTTAGTTTTGTTGATGGTTTCCCTTTCTGTGTAGAAGCTTTTGTTTGAGGGCGGCTCGCTTGTCTGTTTTCGCTTTGGGGGCCTGGTCATTGGCCCTGGGCTAGGGACTTAGGTGGGAGTCTGTCTACTGCGGTTTTTATGTTTTTAAAAGCTGCTGCGTTTAGTTCCTGCTTTAAGACGATTTCCGGATTGTGTTTAGGAATGGATACAGCAGAACAACATCTTATCCATCGTCCTGCGAGACAGCCTGCACCAGCCACAGTACGTGGAGAAGCTGGAGAAGATTCTTCGTTTCGTCATCAAAGAAAAGGCTCTGACCTTGCAAGACCTTGATAATATCTGGGCAGCACAGGTATGGAATGTGGAATAGTGGCTATTTGAATTTTTTTTTAAAAAAAGAAGCGAATACTAAGGAAATATAGTAGTTAGGAAATGGGATGAAAGCTTATGTCATATTACTTTTAATATATTAAAATGCTTGTTTACAGCAATCCTGTCAGGAATCTTTTTGAAATAGCCAATATTTTTTAATAAAAACACATATATTTGGTCAAATTTCTCAGAATTGCAGGCAGTTTCAATTCAGGGCTGAAAAATGGTTCCTTTGGTTATCTTAGTGACAGGTTTCTACTAATGGGTCACGTGGGAAGTATTACTGAATTCTAGATGACAGCGCTTTATTTCTTGGGTCTAGAAACCAAGAACACATTCTGCTGTGCCTGTAAGTGCTTAAGGCCACAGTTCCGAAACAATACCGTTGGGAGTGCCTTGTTTCTCCTATGTGCAGTGTTAAAATTGACACGTTAAATTCGGTAATGGTTCACATGAATTCCCATGCAGAGCAAAAAGCTGAATCATCAGGTTTTAGGTGGCAATTTTAAAGCATTTAAAATGTCATCCCAATCACTGGACCCCAGCAGCAAGCTAACCTACTAATCGAGCGTCTGCCCCCTGGTGGCCAGTGCGCATCATAGCGACTGGTGGGATGAACGTTCTACACCTAGCACATTAGGCTTTTTTTATACAGGGTGGTAGTCAGCAAAGTCTTGGTTTTCTTTGGGTTTTCACTAGGCAGGGAAGCACGAGGCCATTGTGAAGAATGTACATGATTTACTGGCAAAGTTGGCCTGGGATTTTTCTCCTGAACAACTCGATCATCTCTTCGATTGTTTTAAGGTAAGATTCAACATAAAGAAGCACCCTTTTGGTTTTAATATATTTAATTCATTAGATTGTGAGTTCTAGAGTAGGGGTGTCGAACTCAATCAGAGAAGGGGCCAAAATCTAAAATCCAGCCTAAATCGCGGGCCGAATGGTTTACTGAACAGTCATAAACTGTCATTGTGATGGAAACGCAGTGGAGTGCAGTGATGACAGCGCGGTGCGGACCACATTGCAAGGCCTGGCGGGACGGATTTGGCCTGCGGGCCTTGTGTTTGACACATGTGTTCTAGATAATCACTTTGAAGAATTCTGTGCCCACTATGTTTTTGTGGTGAGTGTATAGCTCATCTGGGGACAGTAAGCAGGGAGAAAGAAATGCGTTGTTTCATTCATTTAAATTGCTCTCTAGGCAAGTTGGACAAATGCAAGTAAAAAGCAGCGGGAGAAGCTCCTTGAGCTGATCCGCCGCCTGGCAGAGGATGACAAGGACGGGGTGATGGCGCACAAGGTGCTGAACCTCCTGTGGAACCTGGCGCACAGCGATGACGTGCCCGTGGACATCATGGACCTGGCCCTCAGCGCCCACATCAAAATACTCGATTACAGCTGCTCCCAGGTGAGCGGGTGCCGCTCAGCGCCCTCTCCCCCCCCTTTCTCTCTCCCTTCACAATTAGGGTGGCTTAGCTACAGAATAGTCTCAGGCTATTCCAATGTTATTTTTGAAGCAATTTTCAAGGATTGACTTTCTTCGTATAAGTTTGCCTCCGCGGTCTCTCTGTCACAGTTTGGGGTATCATCTGCAAAGCATTTTGGTCTCCTTGGGAGAATGGCAGTACACTCCACACAGGCTGTATGGTGTGGCTTGTTACCTGTGTGGTGCTGAGCCGGTTCCAACCAGATCATGAGATAGGAGATATGAAAGCTGGGCAGAGACTTCAGAGCATAAGGGAAGTTAGGTTTTCTTTCCTTGTAGAGAAATTAAGAAAAATTAATAAAACTTTCCTAAACGGCAAAGCATTTAGTGCCTTTTCCTGTGAACAAATTACACAGCAGCTTCCCCGCATTCTAACTGGCGGTGTGCAGAGCCTTTTAATTCATGCATGGACATGGCTACACGACCAGTGTCTCACTCATTAGACCTGTTTGCTACACGGATGAACCGAAATTTCAGTAAGAGCTAAGAAATAAGCTCAACTAGATGTGTCAGTCAGATGCTACTGTTTTTGACTCTGCTTGTTGGTGACCAATCGTTATTTAATACATCAACTAGTAAACAGAGACACAAAATAATTCAAACCTAAAATTAGGTGCGCAGACCTGCATTTCTGATCATTATTGATGGGGAAAAAGTAAAGTAGAGGCATGAGAAGTAAACGTGGTACATGAAGTAATGTTGGCTTTAACTGTGCCTACACACGACTCTCCCTTTCTCTCCTTGTGTGCATGTGGACATGTCCTTGTTTTTAGTTGTGGTAGAAGTTGCCGTACCATTATTTCCTTGGTAAAAATATAAATCCTCAATGTCCCTCAGTGTGCTAAAAACAAACGTGTGTGGTGTAAATAAGGGTTCTATGTTACTGCTGAGTTTTATTATATGGTAGAATCTCTAAAAACATTGATAAAGCTAAATGCCCACTTCCTGGCAAACATTTCAAATCACTTTCTGTCTGTGTGCCTAATGCTTAGTCTCTAGACTTTTGTGTAGCTAGTTGTAGCTATATCTGAGTCTCTGTCATATTGAACTTTTCTAATAGTCTTTTTAGAGTTTTGATAGTAAATGTGAAGTAAACATGTACTTAAAGCAACTTTTAAAATTATCATTGAACTCTTTACTGCAGTTACGGCATAATGTTTGTGTTGCTAATCGTACAAGAGAAGCTGTGTTTTGTAATTCTGAAAGCTATATTGACCTGTATAAAACATTGAAATCGTTTAAGGACCGTGACACACAGAAGATCCAGTGGATAGATCGCTTTATAGAAGAACTTCGTACAAATGACAAATGGGTGATCCCCGCACTGAAACAAATTAGAGAAATTTGTAGTTTGTTTGGGGAGGCACCTCAGAATTTGAGGTAAGGCTTTTAACAGAAAATTTCAGTCTTTTCATTTATGTCTTTTGCAAAGAAACAGCAGCATTATCAGCTGGTAGACGCAAACTAAGAAAATTAGAATGGGATGATCGAGGAGAGAAGAGCTTATTTGGAAGAAAAGATTCCTTTATCATAACCACCCACTTGATTGTACTGATGAGGAAGTAAGCTGCAGTTAAGTGATATGTATCACAAGCAAGACAATAATATTGCCTTCACGTTCTGGGCTCAGAATTCCCTCTTTCTTCCAGCCAGTGAGCCAGACAGTGTCATGGCATGTGCTGTGTCTATTTCCCCTCACATTTCAGTTTTTCCTTCCTCCTTGTGTCCCTCTCTACCCAGTGTCTGCCCTGATACATATATGACCTTGCTAAATGGTGGTTCCCGGAATAATTTGTCCTTGCATTGTTTGGTTATAGAGTTGGAACTGATAACATAAAAAAGAAAAATGTGGGAAAGAGAGCTGGGTGTAATCAGGATTCCTGGGTTATGGCCCTTGTATCCAAACAGTCATGTCATTCTGCCAAGATTCCTAAGCTACAGAAAGGGGCTTTTCCTATGTGTATAAAATTAAAAGATTGCCAAGATCCTTTACAGCTCTCGATTATGTTTATGCCTAACACAGAAAAGGCCACGTGCTTGGGTTTTAACATTGAAATTTGCCATCTGCTGTGTGGTTGGTTTTTTTAAGGCTAGAAAAATACTATAAAATTACAAAAGCTATAGGAGTGAACAGTGGAGAAAATTTACATTCTTTGCTGTAATTATAGCATAATTTTTGTGGTGCTGATCTTATAAGGAGTTTCTATTTTATAATTCTGCAAATAGTTATGCAAACTTAAACAAGTGCTTTGGCGCTAGTATAATAGGAAGTAGAAATCGGTTACTAAAGTAGACTCCCATTGGTGTGGTAGTGGAGAATATTAATGCATTTGTGTGTAAGATAATAACGGAATGTTTTATTTTTTGAGGCATTGGTTTTCTTTTAAATTGCTTGCCACTAAAGTAAATGGCCAGAAGTATGCTTCTGTTTGAAAGAACCCATTTGAAGTTTTTCAGTTAGTAGCTAAGAATTTAGATTATACAAGCGCTCTTGATTCCACCAGAATTAATTGCCTAATTATATTGTTAAGTTCTTCTCGTTTCAGTCAAACTCAGCGAAGTCCCCATGTATTTTATCGTCATGATTTAATCAATCAACTTCAGCACAATCATGCCCTAGTTACTTTGGTAGCAGAAAACCTTGCAACTTACATGGAAAGCATGAGAATGTATGCCAGAGGTATGTATTACAAGCTAATGGGAATTCTGGAAAATAACAGCCTCTTCCCTTCCCCGCTGGGCGGGGTCAGCATTAATTACCTCAGAGATGACAGCAGATGTATTTCGTGTTCCTTTCTGAGCTTATGATCCACTTTCGCTTTCCTCTCACCTGTCACACAGTCTTACCTCCCCGCCAGCATTGCAAGGCTCTGTAGTGCTTGCCTGCCCCGCTCTCCCCGTTAAATGTTTGCCCTGCCCTGCCCGGAGGCTGGGGCCGCCTGGCCCACAGCTGTTTCTTGCCTTCTTAGGTATGTACTGACTCATTTTCATCCTTGGTTTCCTTACTGCCTCCACCATTATCTTTTCAAGCAAACTTCTTTGTCTAAGTCCGTGTTCCATAAGTGTGTCCATTTAGGAATTAAAAAGTCACAAGTAGGGAGGTGCAAGGCCACAGGAACCCACGTTTACGTTGGGTTCAAAGTGTGAAGCTATTGAAACATGTCACTGTCAAGTGTCCTGTTGTTTTATTAATAACAGCCAGTTTGTAAGGGCCCGCCATCTGCGGAGCTCCGTTTCAATGCTCTTTTGCCCTCTGACAGTTGTATTTGATTCTGTGTGCTGGAGTTCAGAGGTATTCTTAATACATACTCCTCTGCTTATGCCCAATTCATAGCACGCACACAGACACAGACTATATTTTAGGCTCAAGTGTGTTCCCATCGCATGGAAAGGAAACGGTATATAGCCAGTGTTAGGGGTAGAATTGAACATGACGTTCTTGACCTTTTATAGTAGACTTTTAAGCCGATAATGTATTTGTAACCATTTGTATGCTTAGTCTATAGACGCAAGCGGCGGGCCTTTTTTAATTCAAACTATCATGGCAGTTAACTGGTTAAAATGAGGGTATTTCTAATGCTTGTTATTTGAAGAGTATAGTGGGTAGACTCTTGGCATTATATAAAGTCCCAGTATGCCTATGAAACATGAGATCTTTGCGTAACATTTACATACACTCCTATGTAAAACTCAGGTAAACGTGAAATTGAGGGCTAACATCAGGCTTCCACAGTTGGCTGATATTCTCAATTTTTTGATAACTATTTCACCAATATTACTATCCTGGCCGTATTTCACCACTCGCCTCTTCATCTTTGAAAGAAAACATTTCTCAGTAGTATAGTCAGCTGATTCTGCCTCCTCGTTTAATGTTATTTAGCTAAAGTAATAAACTTACTAAAATTCTTAACATTTACTCATGTGTTCTTACTATTAGTGCCTTCAGGTACTGGTGCTTACCAAGTCGTTCTTTCAAAGTTTTTTTTAACCGAAACCGGTGTGGCTTAGTGGATAGAGCTTCGGCCTGCGGACTGAAGGGTCCCGGTTTCGATTCCGGTCAAGGGCATGTGCCTTGGTTGCGGGCACATTCCCAGTAGGGGGTGTGCAAGAGGCAGCTGATAGATGATTCTCTGTCATCGATGTTTCTAACTTTCTATCCCTCTCTCTTTCTCTCTGTAGAAAATCAATAAAATATATATAAAAAACTAAAATAAAATAAAAATAAAGGAGAATCCAAGATGGCTGTACAGGTAAACACCTAGCCGCAGCCGTGCACAACAATTTCAATAAAATACAACTAAAAAAAAATATATATTTTTATGTGAATACAACACAGTATAAAAAAACCACTTTTTCGTTTTCACTCAAGTTTTAACTCATTGGTAGGATTGCCATAGGCCTAAAAGTATAAAACTCTGAGGAAAAAATATAGGAATAAATCTTCGTGGTTTTGGGTTAGGCACAGCAACATTTTTAGGGGAGAAAACGTGATATGTTGAACTACATCGAAATTTATAACTTATGCAAATGATAGAACCAGAGTAAAATGATAACCCAGGAATGGGAGAAAATATCTACAGATTATGTATCTGGTAAGGGAGTTGTATCCAGAATATATAAGAACTCACTCTTACTATTCAACAGTTAAAAACCACCCAATAAAGAAATGACAGGATCTGTGTAGACATGTCTCCAAAGACAAGCATGTGGCCATTTGGTGGCATAAAAAGATGCTAAGTTTCATTAGTCATTGGGGAAAGGCAAATTAAAACCACAGTGAGAAGCTGCTGCCCACCTACCAGGATGACAGAAGTGAAACAGCCGCAAGTGTTGGCAAGAATGAGGAGAAGTTGGCACTTTTGTATGTTGTTTGTGGGATTGCAAAGTGGTGCAACCACCTTGAAATATAGGTTGGCAATTCCTCAAAGTGCTCAACAGAATTGATCATACACTTTACCCCGGTTGTAGACCAAGGTGAAATGAAAACATAGATCCCCACCAAACCTTGAGTGTGAATGTTAGCCAGAGAAGTGGAAATGACCAATGTGGCCATCATTTGATGAATGGATAAAGCAATATGCTGTATATGCATACAATGGAACGCTATTTAGCAGTAAAAGAATGTTACGGCATGGATGAACCATGCAAAATGTTAGCCTAAGTAGAAGAAAACCAGTCACGAAAGACCACATAAGATTCTGTTTATATGAAATCTGAGCCTCTTGGGGATACTGGGAAATCTTGTAGAATGTGAGGGTAGGTTATGATACTCAAATCTTGTAGCTTTGACTATACTAAAACCATTGAGTTATACATATTAAATGGGTAGGTTTTATTGTATTTTAATTATGCATCAATACAGATGCTTCTTAAAAAGTGAACTCTTCTCATGAATTCTGAAATGGATTCCTTAAACTTTTGTGGGGAAAATACGAGGACCAGAAATCGCCAATACTTAGTAAACTTCACGATGCCTTTGAATGTCAAGTTAATGACTTTTTAAGTGACTTCATTTTCTTCGGTTCAAGTCCCAGTGATGTGGGCGTCCGATTGTGTCATGCATGCTTTCCTTTGTCATTTGCAGACCATGAGGACTATGACCCGCAGACTGTGAGGCTGGGGAGTAGATACAGTCATGTCCAAGAAGTCCAGGAACGGCTGAACTTCCTGAGGTTGGTTCCAAGCAGTCACTGCTCCTCTCCCTAAGACACAGCTAGGGAAGCACCTTCGTCCGATGTGTCTCTGAGGTCTTTTTCAGGTGGCTTTTCCCACGTGGAAACCATTGCCTGAAGTCACAGGACGCTTCCCTGGTGTTCGTTTATTAAACATTTAGAATTGTCTGAGTTTGAACTCTTCTTCTTTGCAGTGCTTGAAGAGAACACATTTTAAATTTTTATACAGAATTATGTTCTTAAGTGCAAGTTTCCATCCTTTGAGGCAAGCAGCTAGAGAATCATACTGACCGTAATGGCGTCAGAGACACTAAAGAAAAGGGGACAGAAGGCTGCTGGACCAGCACCCGATGGCTTTTTTTTTTTTTTTTTTCTTTTTCTTTTTCCCCCCATTTTCCCAGGTTTTTGCTGAAGGACGGCCAGCTGTGGCTGTGCGCCCCGCAGGCCAAGCAGATCTGGAAGTGCCTGGCGGAGAACGCCGTGTACCTGTGCGACCGCGAGGCCTGCTTCAAGTGGTACTCCAAGCTGATGGGGGATGAGCCCGACCTGGACCCCGACATTAACAAGGACTTCTTCGAAAGCAACGTGCTGCAGCTCGACCCTTCCCTCTTAACGGAAAACGGGATGAAGTGTTTTGAGCGGTTCTTCAAAGCTGTGAATTGTCGAGAAGGAAAACTGGTGGCGAAGCGGAGAGCCTACATGATGGATGACTTGGAGCTGATCGGGTTAGACTACCTGTGGAGGGTAAGCGGAGCGCTGTGTGGGCTGGACCTTTTCAAACTGACTTCGCTGAGCAATGATACCCCAAGGTTTATGCATGTTGGCTCAGTGTGGGATTAACTTATTATCCCTGCCTTTACAAACCTGACCTGGTCACAGCAGTGTATGTCATTTTTACATGAAATACTTTTTCTGCAGGCTAACTAGCCTAAGAGTTTTATTGTGGTATTTGATTATTCAGACGTTTTGATTAAGAGGTTTGCAACATTTTCAAACAGTTTTTAAAATTTCAATTACGGTTGACATGTATTTAGCATTTTTAAATGGCAGAAACCCTTTTTAAAATAAAAATGTACACACTGCTCCAGGTGAAATAGGTAAAGGGGATTAAGAGGTACAGCCTTCGGTTATAAGTCCTGGGGATTTCATGTATATCGCTGGGGATATCGTCAGTGTTGTAATAACTGTGTGGTGACAGATGGTAACTAGACTTACCGTGGTGGTCATTTCGTAATCTATACAAATAATCACTAATGTACACCTGAAACTAACATATTGTATGTCAATAAAAATAATGCTCCTGATTAAAGCGTATTATGTCCTTAGGAAAATGAGTCTTCAACAATTTTTTTTATTCAAAGACTTGCATTTGTCTTCTTTATTTTGGTCTGTTTTTTCAATTGTACTTAGTTTTCTTGATTACCGAAGTCTGTGTATCCTGAGATTATTGAATACTATATTAAAAATAACTGAGGGTATGGTTTGAATTGAAATGGCCAACTAAGATATCTTTTTGAACCTAGGTCGTGATTCAGAGCAATGACGATATTGCCAGCAGAGCTATAGATCTCCTTAAAGAGATATACACAAACCTGGGGCCGAGGCTACAGGTCAATCAGGTGAGGACTGCCGAGCATTCAGACATACACAAATTGAAACTCTGGTTGAAGAACTCTTGCTTTAAATAACTTTTCTTTAATTTAGAATTAACTAGGAATTCTTTTGTTTCAACTCTTATTGTAAATATACCTGAAATATTTGGTCCCCATTTCTCTTGTACAAAATGCTATCTAAATGAATCTAGTCTTAATAATTATCTTGAAATTATCATGTTGAGTATAATTATGGCAAGAGATTTTGACTGAATTTCTTTTGATTAGAACACCTAATCCTGAAGGGTTTTTTTTTTTGTTTGTTTTTTTAGTATCTCGTTTATACTTATATAACTCTAGCTTCCTTTGACAATATATAGTATATTCTATTATCAGTATAGACTGCCTGGCTGAATACAATCATGGTTAATTGACGGCTACCCTTAAATTAGTTATTGCCATCTTTAATTGGAATAAAGTTTTATGTGTGCGTTTAATTTTTACATTTCAAACCAACTTGAACTGTCATGTTTGACCCGTTATTGGTAGGTGGTGATCCATGAAGACTTTATTCAGTCTTGCTTTGATCGTTTGAAAGCCTCCTATGACACGCTGTGTGTATTGGATGGTGACAAAGACAGTATTAATTGTGCGAGGCAGGAAGCTGTTCGGATGGTTCGCGTGTTAACCGTGTTGAGGGAGTACATAAATGAATGCGACAGCGATTACCACGAGGAAAGGACCATCCTGCCGATGTCAAGGTTTGTGAATAAGTGATCCACCAGTGCTGTTGCTGAATGCCTTGGTATTTCCTAGCCATTGGGTTTGGAAAAGTGATGTTCCAGCCCGAGCCAGTGCGGCTCAGTTGGTTGAGTGTTGTCCTGGGCACCAAAAGGCTGCTGTTCACTCCCGGTCAGGGCACTTGTCCCCTGATGGGTACATGCAGGAGGCAACGGATCGATGTTTCTGTCTCGCTTTGATGGGGGTCTCTTTCTCTCAAGTCAATGTTCCAGAAGAAAGTGTTGGGATCTTGGCCATGAAGAGCATTATTTGCATCTTTTAAAATCTTTGGTTAATACTAGACCTTTTTTGTTTTCTGGGATCTGGTTTTGGGTTTATTTGTTTGTTTAGTGTTCTCACTCAAGTCAAGTGTGCTCTCTTGTCGTTTTATTTTTGCCAGTGACTTTTTTTCTGGTAAGTGTCGCAGGAATGTTTTGCAGTTCCAAGTGTTTTGATGCCATTCATTTGCACCAGTAAAAATAATGGCATAATAAGGTTAGCAAGTAATCAAAAAGGACTGTTAAAAGCTGCTTTGACAGAGAGCCAGAAAAGCAAGGACATTTCCAAGTGATCTGCTAACAGTTCTTTTACGGTCTTGCCATTTAGTAAATCAAATAGTATTTATTATTTACAGATGTTTATAGAATGAGTGTCACCAGAGTTTCTTTTAAAAGATTTCTCTATGGCTGAAACTGGTTTGGCTCAGTGGATAGAGCGTCAGCCTGCGGACTGAAGGGTTCCAGGTTCGATTCCAGTCAAGGGCATGTACCTTGGTTGTGGACACATCCCCAGTGGGGGGTGTGCAAGAGGCAGCTGGTCGATGTTTCTCTCTCATCGACGTTTCTAACTCTGTCCCTCTCAATTCCTCTCTGTGTAAAATCAATAAAATATATTTAAAAAAATAAATCAATAAATAAAGATTCTCAAAAGCTTAAAACAAAACAAACAAAAAAGATTTCTCTATGGCCGAAACCGGTTTGGCTCAGCGGTAGAGTGTCAGTCTGCGGACTGAAAGGTCCCAGGTTCGATTCTGGCCAAGGGCATGTACATTGGTTGCAGGCACATCCCCGGTAGGGGGTATGCAAGAGGCAGCTGGTCGATGTTTCTCTCTCATCAATGTTTCTAGCTCTCTATCTCTCTCCCTTCCTCTCTGTAAGAAAATCCATAAAATATATTTTTTAAAAGATTTCTCTATGAAATGGTTCTTTGTTAATTTTGAAATTATTTACAATTGCTTCTTATTTTTTACTTTTTGTATCTTATCTGCAATAATACTTATAACTTAAATATTCTGAGGGAGTGAATTTTGATATTAAGACTTTTTCAGAAAAAATGAACACCTTGGTACTCGAGATAGTTATGTCAAGTGTTACATCTTTGAGTTAATTTCTTATAAACTAGATGCTTCATTTTCTGCAACCATAGGTACAAACGTACAGTAGCAACAATGGAATGTGCTTTTAAGATCACTTACAGTATTTGTAGTTCAAAGGCGCAGTAACTTTTTATGTTCAAGACCCTAAAAATAGCCTTAACTCGCTCTCTCTGGTTTAAAAAAAAACATTCCGTATGAGATTTGTAGCTTTGTCGTCTTTGCAAGGAGGTTTGAAACTCTGCTGGATGTGACGATGTTTTTTCTCTTGTTCTCCAGAGCTTTCCGTGGCAAACACCTCTCCTTCATAGTCCGCTTCCCAAACCAGGGCAGGCAGGTGGATGACCTGGATGTGTGGTCCCATACCAATGACACGATCGGCTCCGTGCGGCGGTGCATTCTCAATCGCATCAAAGCCAACGTGGCCCACACCAAGATCGAGCTCTTCGTGGGCGGGGAGCTGATAGATCCTGCTGATGACAGGAAGTTGATTGGACAATTAAACTTAAAAGATAAATCGGTAAGTTTCTAGAAATACCAAACGTTTCAAGAAACTCAAAGCTGAGTCCTACCTGGTTTGGCCCGGTGGATAGAGCGTTGGCCTGCGGACTGAAGGGTCCTGGGTTCACTTCTGGTTAGGGGCACATGCTTGGGTTGTGGGCTTGGCCCCCAGTGTGGGGTGTACAGGAGGCAGCCGATCCATGATTCTCATCATTGACGTTTCTATCTCTCCCCTTCTCCCTTCCTCTTAGAAATCATTTTTTTTAAAAACGGAAGTCAAAGCTGAGGCTATCTTTTCTTCCCATAGTCAACATTGCATTCAGTAAATTATACTTGAGGCTCTATGTCAGTGTTGGGATTTTAACAGTAAATAAAACAGGCGTCAATGTAGTAGAGGAAAGGTTTTCTAAAAACTATAATGCTATGGCCCTAACCAGTTTGGCTCAGTGGATAGAGTGTCGGCCAGTGGACTGAAAGGTCCCAGGTTTGATTCCCATCAAGGGCATGTATCTTGGTTGCGGGCACATCCCCCAGTAGGAGTTGTGCAGGAGGCAGCTGATTGATGTTTCTCTCTCATCGGTGTTTCTAACTCTATCCCTCTCTGTAAAAATCAATAAAATATATATTTTTAAAAACAATTAATGGTATGGTTATATTAGACACTACTTTGGGAAAGTATAGCTTGTAGGTTTTTGTTGGTGTGTTACTGACTTCAGTTTTGTGTATTTTGTTTGCCTTAAATTTCCTGCTAACGTACTGTATCATTTTCAGCTAATTACAGCCAAGCTTACACAAATAAGTTCCAATATGCCTTCAAGCCCTGATAGCTCTTCTGATTCCTCAACTGGATCTCCTGGAAACCATGGCAACCATTACAGCGATGGTCCCAATCCGGAGGTGGAAAGCTGTTTGCCCGGGGTGGTGAGTAGCTTTGAGTTGCTGTACGCCAGGCACTGTGCCGTCCTCTTGGAGAATAGAGCAGTGTATTGAACAGGGTGGGTTTTTCCTTGAGGCGCTTGTAATTTATGCGCCTGCACATCAAACAGCTTTGTAGCTAACTGTGAACTTCACAGTAGATCCCCTGAAAGTAATTGGAATTGGAATTTAAAACCTCTCCTGTAGAAACAGTATTGTTATGTTTTCATAAAGTTGATCTGCTCTACAGCTTAATTATAGCTAGTGAATATAAGTTCGGAAGTACACCACTGTGTTTAAAGACTAGAAATGGCATAAGCAAAAGTGTGGCAGTTCAGTGTATTGCGCTTTCCTGGGAGGTGTGCTTGACAGGTAAACGTTCTGTGTGTTTTGTGTTCTAGATAATGTCCCTGCATCCCAGATACATCTCTTTCCTTTGGCAAGTGGCAGACTTAGGGAGCAGCCTAAATATGCCATCTCTCCGAGATGGTGCCAGGGTGCTTATGAAACTGATGCCACCAGGTAAGATTTAAGAACAAAAACTGACGTTGACAAAGGACACGCTGGCCAATGACAGGATGTATTGGCCACTTCTGTTCGTAGGTGGCACACGCCTTCCGGCATAGGCCGGAGCGGAAGTTGGCAGTCTTCAGCCCACCGCCTGGTTTCCCAAAGCCTGGGAGCAGCGGGTGGTTTCCCCGCAAATAACCTCTTCCAGAGAGAACTCATGGACAGGCCATGCTCGCCTTAAGGGCAACACCTGCCGTTGTAGCTTCTCCGGGAGCCTAGAGCTTCTTCCATATCGTCATGCACACGAATGGTGTGGTCTCGCATTAACCCGTTTATCGAATCCTGCCTCATTGTAATGCCATTTTCCAATCCACCAGCTTGATGCTTGACCCAGGACTCCAGAATCCCTGGTCTTGTTTTGAAGAGCATAATGCCACCAGGCGGCGACAGTGAGCTCTGGCCAGGCTGCTCCAAGCCGGGAAACTTGAGGGCGCTTTTCTCTCTCTCTCTCTCTCTCTCTCCCTCCCCCCCTCTCTCCCTCCCCCCCCCTCTCTTTTTTCTCCCGTATTTTATGTAATCAAAGTATAGGCCTAGATTTGAAATAGCCAATTTTAGAAAGGCCAGTAATAACTGTATTACAGTATTTAGATCAGAGGCTTTGGACTCAACCAGGCTTCAGTTCAAATCCTGGTATGTAAAACTGAGCTAATAATAATAACTTTGATACATGGACTAGTGACTGGAATGTAACCAGTTATCTCAACAAATGTTATCTTGTTTTCTGTCGCCATGGTTGCTACACACATACACTCACACTCTTTTAAGAAAGGAAGCAGGGGTCCCGGCCGGTGTGGCTCAGTGGTTGAACATCAACCCATGCACCAGGAAGTCACTGTTAGATTCCCAGTCAGGGCACATGCCTGGGTGGTGGGCTCAATTGGAGGGAAGAATTGCCATTTTTCCCTTTTTGTTATTTTCCTTAAGAACGTCCTTTTGAAGTGTCTGGTGTTTTTTCAGGCTCCAGTGGCTGGAGGACATGTTGATCTGAAGTCTGAGTAGGGGGAGCCTGCTTCCCTACTGGGGTTTGCTTGGCTGATTAGTGAGCCCTGATTTGTTTACTTGTTTACTTAGTATTCTCGAGTCAATCCAGATCTGGCTATATGAAGCTGGAGCCTAGAACTGGCTGCTTGTTTCACACTAAAGTCTGAGGTATCCGCAGTGAGCTGCTGTGCACCTGATGGGTGCTGTGTCTGAGCCGTGTCTCTCCCTTTGCAGACAGCACAACAATAGAGAAGCTGAGGGCCATCTGCCTGGACCACGCCAAGCTCGGCGAGAGCAGCCTTAGCCCGTCTCTCGACTCGCTCTTCTTTGGGCCTTCCGCTTCCCAAGTGCTGTACCTGACCGAGGTTCGCCTTTTCCCTTTGCCTTTCCCCGCGCCCTTCCCACTGGCCTTTCATGCCGATGTGGAGGACGGAACCCCGCAATGAAGTATTTTGGGATGGTCGGAAGAATTTCTTCGCCGGGGACATAGGCGCTGTCTTTTTAAGACCTTGAACGCAGTCCCTTCCTCTCTCCCCAGGTGGTCTATGCCTTGCTCATGCCCGCAGGGGCGCCTCTGGCTGAAGACTCCTCTGATTTCCAGTTTCACTTCTTAAAAAGTGGCGGCCTGCCCCTGGTCCTGAGCATGCTGACCCGGAATAACTTCCTGCCCAGCGCAGACATGGAGACGCGAAGGGGTGCCTACCTCAACGCCCTGAAAATAGCCAAGCTCCTGCTGACGGCCATCGGCTACGGCCACGTGCGCGCCGTGGCGGAGGCGTTCCAGCCGGGCGTGGAAGGCGTGAACCCTCTCACATCGGTAATGACAGGCCCCTGAAAAGCCTCTGGGTGGTAACAGACGGCCATTTGTGAAGTCCAACCTCTCAGCGACTCTTTAAGTATCGATATTAAGTTCAAAGGGAAGCTGTCTCAGGTTCTTTCTAGTGATGCATTATTTTAGAGTGTTTTGGTTTTTTTGTGTGTTTTTTCCCCCTCTGTTAAATATTATTTGTATTAAAGTGCAAATGCTTTCCACTCACTATATTTTTATTTGAGAGACTAGTTCTTCACGCCCCCTTAAATCCTGTTTGACTTTCAGTCTTCTTTTTTTCTTTAATATATAATATGTATATATACCCTGTTTCCCCGAAAATAAGACAGTGTCTTATATTAATTTTTTCTCCCAAAGTTGCGCTAGGTCTTATTTTCAGGGGATGTCTTATCTTTCCATGCCCTAGGTCTTATTTTCAAGAGATGTCTTATTTTCGGGAAAACACGGATAGATAGATAGATTTATTCTTTTTATTTTATTTTATTTTACAGAGAGGAAGGGAGAGGGAGAGAGAGTTACGATAAAGACACTGGTGGGAATAAAAAAGCTGTAATTGATTTAGCCTGTTGCCTCCAAAAGTTCTCACGACCTGCTAGAATTTAATGCCTGTTTATTAGAGGTGTAATGCTGTATTTAATACAGACTAAAATTTGAGTTATATGCATCATACGTGATGATTTGCTAAGTTACTGATAGGAGATAAGGACTTCAGGAATATATTCTTTTTTTAATGGCTTAGGTTTAATCGGAGGTTGGAATGTGGATTAGATGCGTGATATTATAATGTCACATGTAATTGAGATAATAGCACTGTAATTGTTTTGGGCGTGCTAATGGCACCGTGGTTATGTTTGAAAGGACTATTTCCCATCACCGCCCTTTTTCCTTTTTTTTTGAGTAGTTTCTGAAATAGAGATGAAATTATATATCCAGGATTTGTTTTCAAAATGCATCCTGGGCTGGGGAAGGGACAGAAAGCAAGGAAGGGTGGCAGTTAAACAATTGGGGTCCTTTATTAGTAAATTTTGGTGCTTGCCAATGGGCACATAGGCGTTCTTAATACTATTCTCTCCACATTTGTATATCTTAGAACGTTTTCGTCAGTCTTCATGGCCCGAGTCCTGCATGTTTTTGGCCCGTGGGTGTGAGGCTGGGAAGCGTGGTTCTTGGTTAGCTAAAGCCCCTCCGCACGGGCCTGGCACTGGGCTCAGCATGTCCCGGGAAGCAGCTCCGTGCTCCCCTCTCGCTGTCCCTTTGCGGCATCGGTTCCGAACACGGGCTGTGTGCGCGCAGAGTACACAGCAGTTCTCCTTCAGCTGTGGACCAGGGAGGACTGTGTGAACGGCAGGCAGAATTGCCTGAAAGGGACTCCTTAAAAGTAACCTTTTCTTGTGGGTTTAAGAACATGGTTACTCCATTAAGTAAAACTCTGGTACCATTCATATTTTTGCACTTCTGATTTTTCTTGATTTTTCTCCTTTCCCAAGAAGAATTTGGTCATCGGGGCACAGGGGCAGGTCTGCCCGGGAGCCGTTTGCAGGCTCTCTAGTTAGGGTGGGGCTGCGGCCTGTCAGTTCAGCTTACCGCCTCACCCTAACCCTTACAGTGGTGCTGAGCCCAGAGCAGGGACATGAGCTGGATGGGTCTGGAGCGGCGGCGGAGCGGGGGGGCACTCTCACACCTAAGAGAAAGAAGAAGCCCCACGGTTGGCACTGTGGGGTGCTGTCTGGAAGGAGGTCATCCGAGGGAGTGTGATGGGCAGGAACGAGCGGGTGTGGTTACGGAGCGATCATTGGCTCCAAGGAAAACGGTCGCCTTTTCCAGGTCAACCAGGTCACGCACGACCAGGCGGTGGTGCTGCAGAGCGCACTGCAGAGCATCCCGAACCCGTCGTCCGAGTGCATGCTGCGGAACGTGTCCATCCGCCTGGCCCAGCAGATCTCCGACGAGGTGGGTGCTCGGCCTCTCAGGCTCTGGCCGCCTGTAGCGTCCGTGGGGCGCTCTGCCTTCGCCCCTCTGTGCGTGTAGCGGGAACCCTGGTCACAGGTTAGGGCTTGCGTTTCCCCGGCCTGCTGGCTTTAGTGCCTCTCAGACGAGATCAAGTTCCCTTAACATAACTTTGGTCTACTAGCAATGCCCATGCTTTCTGGGCGTGGTCCTCTGTGTGTACAGTGAGCAGCGTGCTTTTCCAGTTTTTAATTCGCTGGATTTTTTTTTCATATATTTTTATTGATTTTTTACAGAGAGGAAGGGAGAGAAATAGAGAGTGAGAAACATCGATGAGAGAGAAACATGGATCAGCTGCCTTCTGCATACATCCCACTGGGGATGTGCCCACAACCAAGGTACATGCCCTTGACCAGAATTGAACCTGGGAACCTTCAGTTTTCAGGCCGAAGCTCTATCCACTGAGCCAAACCAGCTAGGGCTCGCTGAAATTTTTTTTTTTTTAATTGACTTTATAGAGAGAGGGGTCGGGGGAGAAACATCCATGATGAGAGAGGATCATGGATCGGCTGCCTTCTGCACGCCCCACACTAGAGCCCAAAACCCGGGCATGTGCCCTGACCAGGAATCAAACTGACCTAATGCCTAGGTCGACACTCAACCCTTGAGCCACACCGGCCGGGCTGTAATTCGGTGAATTTTGAGAAATGCCTCACAGGCACGTGATCCCATCACTTTTGGGGTGCCCCTGTGTGGTTCGTTCTCCCTCCATCCCTGCCCCACGTGGCCGCTGATCTTTTGTCCCCGGACACTTGTTTTTTGTTTCTAGAATTTCACACAGAAGCAAATGCCGTGTTCTTTTATGTCTGGCTGCTTTACTCTGGATAACGCCTGGAAACTGACCATGCGGGAACCATTAGTCCATCCCTGTTACTGTCGAGTGGCGTTCCCTGGTGGACATTGCACGTTGTGTTTGTCCATCCACTTGGTGAAGGCCGTCAGGATGGCTTCCCCTTTTTGGTCGTGAGGGAAGCTGCTGGGAACGTTCTGGAGTGTGGGTGTGAGCACAGGTTTTGTGTATCTCAGGTTAACAGCAAGGGAGGAATGGGGCCGTCCTCCATAGTCTTTTTGCGGTTCTGGGGCACGTATGACAGGTGTAGTGCGTGGCACCGCCAGGCCACGTGGAACCTGCACACACAGGACTCCTTCCAGAGGAGAAGCATTCCTGCCCTTTCCGTGCTTACTCTGCTCACTCACTCGCTGCTGTCGTCATTCCTGCCATGCAGGCTTCGAGGTACATGCCCGACATCTGCGTGATCAGAGCCATTCAGAAAATCATCTGGGCCTCCGGGTGTGGCGCTCTGCAGCTGGTGTTCAGCCCGAATGAAGAAATCACGAAAATTTACGAGAAGGTAAGAGCTGGCACAGAAATCGCGCTCTCTTCAATGAGCGTTGTTCAATACTAAATTTGATGGCTTCCATCCTCACTGTTCTTCCCCATCACCTTTCTGTCCATTGTAGATTTGAGCTTAGCTGGCCGTCAGTACCCTACCCACACATATTGTAGGTTGTCAGACCTTCCTTAGCAGTTCTCTAAGACAGATGCTTTAGAACAAGCTGGCGCTGCAGGTGAGCTAGAGGTGGGACTAGTCAGGCTCCTGGCTGCGGTGCAGGGTGGCTCTCCAGGAAGGAGTGGCTGCTGGTGCCAAAGAACCCGCTCCGAAGGTCTCCAGGAGCCTGGCGGGCGGAAGCAGGTGGTGGTGTGGTCAGCAGCTCCCTGGGAAGGAGACCCTGGAATTAGTCTCCGTTGTCCACCACAGTCCTTCCCATGCTATTCCGAGCTGCAGGTGGCGGCCCAGGCCAGGTGGATTGCGGGGGGAGGGACATGCTGCACCCTGGCTTGGAGCGGGGGATCTTTTCCTTAAACGCGTTTCTAGATGACTTCCCGCTGTTGTTTCAGTCCAATGTGGGCAATGAGCTGGACCTGGAAGACGAGCAGGTTTGCTGCGAAGCGTTGGAAGTGATGACGCTGTGTTTTGCCTTGATTCCCACGGCCTTAGACGCTCTGAGCAAAGAGAAGGCGTGGCAGACATTCATTATCGACTTGCTACTGCACTGTCACAGCAAGTGAGTGCCTTTCCATTGTAAGAAGCTTGGTTTGGTGCACAGAGGTCATTTCTGGCGGCAGAATGTATCCCAGCAATCAAAACTGTCTTGTCTCTGTAGCATATTAACATCTAGGAAAAGGTTATTTAAACGTGTTTTGCTTATCCATATTTGTTTGATTTTAGTCTCTGTAAAATGTCCAGTTCCCAAAGTGAAATTAATTTTTCTCTGATTTCAGAATTTTGTTTGACCTAACAGGTATATATTTTAGCCCATTTTAAAAATGTACTTTACAAGGTTTTAAGTTAAATAGAGAATTAGCCTCCCATCTTGAATAACTAGCTACAGGGTGTGTGTGTTGGTTTTTTAAGAGAAGTTGTTAATTCAATAGGACATTCAGAAGGCAGGATTATGGTATGAACTTCTGTATTTTTATACAAAGAATAAAAACCAATTATAAGTTCTCGTTTGCATTTGAAGAGTATTTAATCAGACTTTTTTTTAGTATTTATTATTGAGCTCAATACAGGTGTTTCCTATTCCCATTGTCTCCCTCCACCCAGAGCCCGTCCTACCCCAGGCCTTCCCCACCTTATTTCTCCCCCAGAAAATGGGCACTCCTGACTTCAATGAACATGGGTTCCATCAGAATCAACCCTCTGACTTGTAGGACCTTGCGGGGTTTCAAAACCCTCCCACCCCCCAGGAGGGTGCGTGCACTTAGCATATGCGCTGGGGTTCTTTACAGTGAGCTAGGCATCCGGCCTCCACTCACCGCGCAGCAGAGCTGCGTGAGGCTCTCTGTGGCGCATCTGGTACTTGGAGGAGTGTTTCTGGTCTTTGCCAAGGAACAGGTGTTAAAAGGCACCTCCAAACTCATCCGTGACAACTTGAGGTTACAGTTCTTAGCACACAGCCTAAATCCATGGATGTGTGTTGCCGGCTTAAGGGGTGTTATCTTGTATTTTCACTCTTTAATTTCTCTACCTCTCATCCCCACCCTCCCCGGGGAGACCAGGACTATATTTTGTGGGGTTTTCCTTCATGAGAGTCAAACACTAACAGGAAGCCTTTCTCTTGCAGGACCGTCCGCCAGGTGGCACAGGAGCAGTTCTTCCTGATGTGCACCAGATGCTGCATGGGCCACCGGCCGCTGCTCTTCTTCATCACGCTGCTCTTCACCGTCCTGGGGGTGAGACTCTGTGCTTGTCCGTGAGGCGCGTTCTTCACACGGGGGCTCCCAGGAAGTCGTGCTTTAGATTGCATTGCATTAGAGTGGTCTGCCCGGGCAGTAAGATGGCTACTTCCCATACGATATTAGCCATCTGCTCCAGGTGAGTTTTTAAGAAGCGAATTCATATCTGCTTTCTTGTTTCAGAGCACAGCCAGGGAGAGAGCCAAACACTCGGGTGACTACTTCACTCTCCTGAGGCACCTTTTGAATTACGCTTACAACAGTAACATTAATATACCCAATGCCGAGGTTCTTCTCAACAATGAAATCGATTGGCTGAAAAGAATTCGGGTAAGTTGCATTTCCCATATCGCTAAGTTGAGTAGTTTGTTAATAGCTTATAGTTTTGAGCATTTTGATTAAGTGAAAAACACTCGAGGAATAAAAAGGACTGACAAATGTACCCCGCATTGGTGGACGTTAGTAACTCGGTAACCACAGTACGGATGCATAGCTAGTTCTGTGAAGTGCTTTGTTTCACTTGAGACTTGGTAAGCAGATTGTCACCTTTCATTGTAGAATTGTGGGCCTTTTTACAAATATGATCTTTTTAAAGTATTCTTAATAAATCGGATAGGCTGGCACTTGATTTAATTCTTGATCTTAAGACCTGATACTTTTTACTCAGAATTGTATGGGAATTTCTTTCTGAAGAGATTTGTAGCTTTTAGCCTTTGGTAGCTTGTAAAACGACTTCTAGAAAGTTCTGAAATGGCTTAGAATGTTCTGAAACGGCTTAGAATGGACAGGCGTGAAGGGCTTTCTGCATGTCTGTGCAGCCCTCTCTCGCTCTGGTTCCTCCGTCCCTTGCTGCCTCCCTTTCATAGGTTGAATGTTGGAGTTTTTTGTCTTTTGACAGGATGAGGTGAAGAGAACAGGTGACACAGGTGTTGAGGAGACGATCTTGGAAGGACACCTGGGGGTAACAAAGGAGTTGCTGGCCTTTCAAACCCCCGAGAAGAAGTATCACATCGGTTGTGAAAAGGGGGGTGCTAGCCTCATTAAAGTAAGTCTGTTGTCTTGGTCCTGTTGCAGCCTTCTAAGTTTTGTATATAAGTAAAGTTTCCTAAAGTTAAATAAGCACTGATAGTTTTCCTCTTTGGAAAATCGAAATTTTTCACTTTGTCAGACTAAAATGAGACAGACTTGTGTATGGTTGTTCATTGTAGTGCATAGTGTTACAAAGTGGGGTCTTTTTATTGGAAAATCCAAACAAGTTTTCTGGAGAGGTAATAAGGTCTTGCGTTCTGACAAGTGATGTAATCTACAACATAAATGTCTAATGACACAGATGCTATGTCATCGTAATCCGCCATCTTCCTTTCGGCCTCATAGGAGCTAATTGACGACTTCATCTTCCCTGCATCCAATGTGTACCTGCAGTACATGAGGAACGGGGAGCTGCCCGCCGAGCAGGCCATCCCCGTCTGCAGCTCCCCAGCCACCATCAATGCTGGCTTTGAGCTACTGGTGGCACTGGCTGTGGGCTGCGTGAGGAATCTCAAGCAGATAGTAGAGTCTTTGACTGAAATGTATTACATTGGCACAGCAATAACTAGTAAGTATTACACAGTGTCGTGATAACAGAACTCAAATTCTGTTTTCCTGGTTTTGTAGTAACCATCTTCAATTCGGCTCTTCTTTCGGCAGCTGGTTTAGTGTAACCTTTCTAGCAGGTGGTTGTATAATTGAAGACCATGGCCAGTGAGGAGGGAGCCTTAATGTAAAAGTTGTCAAGTGTTTGTTAACTGCCTTCCTGCATGTAGTGTAACTACTGAGCAAAATCAACCCCATCTCCACCAAATCTGGAATAAAGCCCCAACTCCAGATGCTGTGTAGCCAAAGCCAAAGTCAAAGCCAGAGTTCAAACTTCCAAGTCCAAATTTCATGCACTGGCAGTGTCCAGGCCCTCACTTAGCAGCTCCTGGCTGCTGTGCCCACGTGGCGCCGAGGAAATCTGGTTTGGAAGGTTAGGAGTGGAGAAGATAACCCTTTCCTGCGCTTTTTTCTCCTCGGTCCATGCTCCTGGGAAGCCGTGAAATAGACTCCGAACTTACAGATACGGAGCTGGAGCTCAGAACGAAAGGGACCTAAAAAGCAGGAAGGAAAAATCAAACACAACAGAGGCCTTTTTTTCCTTAAGAGAAAACCACTATTTACAAAGTTTAAGAATATAATCTATTACAATACATTTTTTTAAATATATTTTATTGATTTTCTTACAGAGAGGGAGAGAGATAGCTAGAAACATCGAAGAGAGAGAAACATCAACCAGCTGCCTCTTGCACACCCCCTACTGGGGATGTGCCCGCAGCCAAGGTACCTGCCCTTGACCGGAATCGAACCTGGGATCTTTCAGTCCGCAGACTGACGCTCTACCGCTGAACCAAACCGGTTTCGGCTATTACAATAAATTTTTAAGAACATGTCATATTTTATATGTTAGACTTCAGAATAGAAGGTCATTTTAAAAAACATTGTAGGAGATTCCGATGAAACTGACTGCTTTAAAGGTGTTAGATCAGTGGTCGGCAGAGTGTGGCTCTTCCACAAAATACCACATGCGGGCGTGCACGTACAGTGCGATTGAAACTTCATAGCCCATGCACAGAAGTCTGTTTTTGGCTCTCAAAAGAAATTTCAGTCGTACTGTTGATATTTGACTCTGTTGACTAATGAGTTTGCCGACCACTGGCTTAGACCTTTAGCTATTCTACCAGAAGCAGGGGTCCTTCTGTAATGTGTTGGTGTGCTTATATAGCCTTTAATGCCAGCATGCATTTGGAAGGCACTTTGAAAAACATTCCAAAGTAGAAAGTTCATGATGACTAACCTATAAAGCTAAAAGTACAGGTAGCACGTAGGGATTAGCATTGTACAATCTCGAGGCTGCTGAGGCTGCCATGAGAAGTGGCAGCGCCCGATACAGTGTGGGTTCACGGGTGGGGTGTACAAATCCCTGTAGTGCAGCACGTTGCTGTGTGCCCGGGTTTGTTGAGGGCTTAGAGCGCCCCTTCCTTGGGAGTGGAGTTGTTGCTGATGTCAACTGCTCAGCTGAGAGCTGAAAGGGGAGAAAATGATGTCCACACTAGACTAGAAGAGCCTCTTCTCTCCGCAGCCTGTGAGGCACTTACAGAGTGGGAGTACCTGCCCCCAGTTGGACCCCGCCCTCCCAAAGGATTTGTGGGGCTGAAGAATGCCGGCGCTACCTGCTACATGAACTCTGTGATCCAGCAGCTCTACATGATCCCCTCCATCCGGAACGGTATTCTGGCCATTGAAGGCACAGGTAGTGATGTAGATGATGATATGTCTGGGGATGAGAAGCAGGACAACGAGGTAAATGTTTTATTCTATTGGCCTTTTTTGTTTTCTGTTCCACGTTCTGATACCAAACGCTGTTCTCTCTTAGGGAGTGTTGTCTTTCCTTGGGCCTGATGGCAGATGTTGGGAAATAAAGCTAGAATCTTCTAGCATGGGCTATCTATTGGACTTGAAACTAGTTCATGTTTTAAAATATATTACTGATTTTTAGAGAGAGGGGAAGGGCGGGGGTAGAGAGAAACCTCAATGAGAGGTGAACATCATTAATTGCTTGCTTCCTGCTCGGCCTGTAAGCATCTTTGCCTTTTAGAAAAGCTTTATGGGGGTGCTTACACCGTCCCTGGTGAAGTTCAGACTCTAGTTCTGTAGTCTGTCACAACTCTGAGATGCTGAGTAGTTAAGCACAGAGAGACTATGCCCACAAGTAAAGAAGGCAGACAAGAGACGATACAATTTCAAATAAGATGTCCTGCCTTTGTTCTCCGCAAAGGTGTGCCCTCGGCACTTCGCTCCGCTAGTTTGGGGTTTTGTTGCATGTTTTTATCTGTGCTTATTGCCCTAGGCTGTAAGTTCTGATGGGCAGGGACTAGATATTGTCTGTTTCTCAGATAGTTCTGCAGCCCCGGGTCTCTCTCCGTCTCTGAATTTGTCCCAGCTCCCTCACATAATTGGAATCATACCATATCTGTCTTTTTGTGACCGGTTTATTTTACATGATACGTTGTCCTCCAGGTTTATCCAGGCCAAAGCATGTGTCCATTTCCTTCCCTCTGAAGGCCGAACGATATCCCATGTGTGGATATGCCACTTTTTGTCTCAGTGGACACGGGTTGCTTCAGCTTTGGCTGTTGGGAATAATGTGCTATGAGCATGAGTGCACATGTGTCTCTCTGAGACTTTCCTCTCAGTTCTTGGGGTGTGTACCCAGAAGTAGAACTGATGGACCCTGTGGGGATTGTATTTTAATTTTTAATCCTCATCCAAGGATATGTGGGGGGAGGGGGGGTATGGGTTGCCTCCCGTTAGAGCCCCAGCCAGGGGTTAAACCCACAACCTTTATGTTTACAGGAGAGCACTCCAACAAGGCACCCGGCCAGGGTTCTGTTGTTAATTTTTTAAAGGAACTCTTTTCTTTTTTAATCTATATTTTATTTTATTTTTTTATTATTTTTTTTACAGAGAGGAAGGGAGAGAAATAGAGAGTTATAAACATCAATGGTAGAGAAACATCAATCAGCTGCCTCCTCCACACCCCCCCCCCCCCCCCACTGGGGATGTGCCCGCAACCAAGGTACATGCCCTTGACCGGAATTGAACCTGGGACCCCTCAGTCTGCAGGCCGATGCTCTATCCACTGAGCCACACCGGTTAGGGCTAAAGGAACTCTTCTTCACAATGGCTATACCATTTCACCTTCCCGCCAACCATGTACAAAGGTTCCAGTGTCTTTCACAAGCATTATTTCATGCAATACAACAGCTACATGGAGAATGCGTTGCCCCCGTGATTTATTTATACGGGTTACCTAGCTGATAGTGCTGAGCCTGCATGTATGTCCCATCTGAATGCATCGCTACACTGTGGTATCAGCTGATTACCCACCTCTCCGGTACATAGCCGAACAACTCTTGTGAAATGTTGGAAATTAAAATTTACAATCTCAACGTTATTTGGAAATAAAAAGTAGTCATACAGATCACTTGTTCACTAACTGGCATTTGTCTCAGTGTATCTACATATACTTGAAAGTTAAATGAGCTCACCGATGCTGTTTGTTGTTTCCAGAGCAATGTGGATCCCAGAGATGATGTATTTGGATATCCTCAGCAGTTTGAGGACAAACCAGCACTAAGTAAAACGGAGGATAGGAAGGAGTACAACATCGGTGTGCTCAGGCACCTGCAGGTTATCTTTGGCCACTTGGCTGCTTCCCGGCTGCAGTACTACGTGCCCCGAGGATTCTGGAAGCAGTTCCGGTAAGCTGCGGGCAGGTGGTGCTGGGGATGCCGCTTAAGCCTGTGCCTTCTCAAAACATTCAACTTCTCCGATAGATGTCAGAAGGCACTGTATGTGTCAGCAGTAGCAATATTCAAACTTCCTATTAGGTCTTTTGCTCGTGTCCTCAAAGGAGGAGGGAGGAAGTGTCATAGGAAAGGGCAGCAGCATTTAGTCTTTGAAAGATGGTACCGTTTTTTCTTTGTTTGGGGAAGTTCTCAGATTTATGGAAGTAGGGGAAATAGTACAAACCCTTACGTATGTGTCACCCTACTTCAGTTACCAACCCATGGCTAGGCTGTTTACTCCACAATCTGCTTTCCAGATTGCTCTGAAGCAAATCTCATGCATAGTCCCATCCATAAATAAGTCAGTATGTGTCTCAGATGTCTTGAAAAATACAACCGTAATTCTATTGTCCTGTCTTTAAAATACCCTTGTCTCATAATTGTTTATTACTATATTTTAAAAAGCAGGACACTAAAGTCCGTATACCAAAATGCTGCTATGACTCTACTATGGGCGGGGGGGGAGGGGGGGGGGTTGCCCTTGCAATTATTTGTTGAAGGAAAAAAATAGTCATTTACCATGTAAAGGTTTCCACCCTTGAGAAATACATTGCATATATTGTTCTGGGAGTGTCATATTACATCTTCTATTCCATTCATTTTGTAGGCTTTGGGGTGAGCCTGTTAACCTGCGTGAGCAACATGATGCTTTAGAATTTTTTAATTCTCTGGTGGATAGTTTAGATGAAGCTTTGAAAGCCTTAGGACATCCTGCTATGCTAAGTAAAGTTTTAGGAGGTTCCTTTGCTGATCAGAAGATTTGCCAAGGCTGCCCACATAGGTAAGTGGTAATTATTACATAGTTTATGTTGTGCTGTTTATTTACTAACAAAAATAAAATTTTCATTAGTTATGTGGAGTATGCCACTGGTGACTAAATATCTCTGGCCGGATGAATTATATACTGTGTATACCTCACTACTTTGGGAGTTTTTTTGTTTGTTTTCATAAAATAACTAGAGGCCCGGTGCATGAAATTCATGCACAGGCAGGGTTCCTACGCCTGGCTGGCTGTCAGGGCCTTCCTTTGTTCCACTCTACCCCCTGGTGGTCAGCACACATCAGCGAGCAGTAGAACTCCCTGTCAAACTCCTACGAGGACATTCTGCATATTACCCTTTTAGATAGATAATTTGCTTCTTTTTACTGTATAATCTCTTGCTATTTCATACTCTTACATTTTATGTATGGTTATTTTTGAGGAAATAAAATCATTTTCCATACTGATGCAGATATTACTTATAAATTGTTCTTCGTTTTAGAATTAAAATAATTATAATGTAAACACAATGACTTTACAAGATGACAGAAATAGAGCACTATTTCCTATACAAATGAAATACTGACCTTTAAAATAGCATTGATTATATTTATTATCCTTAAGGTATGTTTTCCACAAGGAATATAGTAAGAGTTGACTAAACAAATTGGCTTTTTTTACTTAAAAGGGAAATTGTTTGATCAGGACTTACTGAAAATAGTTCAATAACTATTAAAAATTAGTTACTGATAATGTTTATACCTATTACATGGAAATTTTGTTTTGGAATCTATCAGTGTTGGTTTGAAATTGTTTTTTGCCAAAATATCACAGTATTATCCACAAGCCCTAGCTGCATTCCATGTGGTCATGGGTTGTGTGTGTGTATGGTTGGTGGGCTGCTTCACTTTGGAGCAGAGAGAAATGATTGTGGTGAGTAATACTGTGTGAATGAGAGGTGCGTTAGGTTAAGGCATTCAGATCAGGGTATGTCGTTGTCACATAGCCTGCACAGTTTGTGGTCCTTTTGAAAGACGTGTTATGCCCAGTCAGTATGGCTCAGGGATTGAGCGTCAACCTATGAACCTGGAGGTCACAGGTTCGTTTCCCGGTCAGGGCACATGCCTGGGTTGCAGGCTCCATCCCCAGTGTGGGTATGTGCAGGAGGCAGCCCATCCATGATTCTCTCTCGTTGATGTTTCCCTCTTCTTCTCCCTTCCAGTCTAAAATAAATACCATAAAAATATTTAAAAAATAAAAGACTTGTTACATTAGGTGGACAATAAAATTCTCATTTTCACATCTTTTTTTAAATTCTTTATTGTTGAAAGTATTATATTACATCTCCTTTTTCCCCGTTGACTTCTCCCTGCCCACCCTCTGCATATGCCCTCACCCCCCTATTGTCTGTGTCCATTGGTTATGCTTATATGCATGCATACAAGTCTTTTGGTTGATCTCTCATCCTCCTCCCCCCCGAATTTTGATGGTCTGTTTGATGCTTTTATGTCTCTAGATCTATTTTTGTTCATCAGTTTATGTTGTTGATACTTGTTTTTAATTGCTGATAAAATAGCCAACTTTTTTGTATATTTTTATTGATTTCAGAGAGGAAGGTAGAGAGAAACATCCATCATGAGAGAGAATCTATCATTGAGGGGCTGCCTCCTGTATGCCACAACCTGGGATCACATCTGGGGCCCTTCAGTCTACAGGCCGACACTATCCACTGAGCCGAACTGGCTAGGGCCAGATAGCCAGCTCTTCAGTTATATCTTCCTGTTAGTCCTTGATTTGTTTTAGACGGTTTTCCATTTTATTGGGAAATGGCTGGTTTCCTGTAAGAGGCCGGTGGTAAAATAAATATTGCAGGCTTTGGGTGGCTGAGGGCTCTGTGGCAACTACTCGACGCTGTTGTTCTGGTGGAAGCAGCCAGACAGACAGTAGGTCAAGGCAGGTGTGTTCCAGTAAAACGTGACAAACAGGCACAGGGCCCCATTTGACCAGTGGCCCACACACAGCCTGTTACCCTGCTCTAGACAAAGCCCTAAGCCAGAACGGGGGCGCTCCGTGTGACCAGGCCTGTGACAAGAACAAGACTAGTTCTGTTGGGGAGCAGGCTTTTAACTTGAGGGTCTTAGTAAGATCGTGTTCTCGACTTCTCCACAAAGCCACGGTTTCATGGTGTAGAATACTGCAAATGCCCGCGACTAAATGTTTAGTAGACAAATGTTTAGTAGACTGAGGAATAACTCCTTTTTGATCTTTTTTTAAATAATATCTTTAGATACGAGTGTGAAGAATCTTTTACGACTTTGAATGTAGACATTCGAAATCACCAAAATCTTCTTGATTCTTTGGAACAATATGTCAAAGGAGATTTATTAGAAGGTGCAAATGCATATCATTGTGAGAAATGCAATAAGAAGGTATGAATTGTCTCGTTTATCTTAATTATGACTACATTTAATGGATTTGGAAGAAGTTGACATTTGTTCTTAAAATTCACCTTCATTTCTACCCTGCTTTGTAGTGGTAGCAGAGGCAGTTGAGATGGTAACTGATTGAAAGGTCAGGGAAAGAAGATGGAGAGAAAGTTGCCTGGGAGGGTAGGGAACACAGGTGAGGGAGGTAACAGTGAATCATTTTAGCAGCCATAACAGCTTAGTATCACATGTTCTTGACTGAAACACAGACATGTTTCATTTATACTCAGCCAGCCTGCTACTGAAATCCTCGGAGCTATAGAGTCGTTGAACCTCTCAATTCTTCTCTCACGTCCAGAGTTACTTGTCAAGACCAAGGAGTTTGCTAAAGCCATGAATTCCTTCCTTTAGCCATGTCAGGTTTCTTCTACCACTTGGGTCAGATTTTTAGGCCCACCTGATGGTTTTTATCTATGGGCAGCTGGCATCTTTTTGGGAGAGACGATTCAGACAGAAGCAATGTGTATTTGGGTGGGCTCCCAAGCCCTCTCACACAGAACTCACCTGGGTTGGGTGACACACCACTTAGGCGGGTGTCAAAGTCCAGAGGGTGAGATGGTGAGTTGTGAGGCCCTACTGCCTGCCGCCCACACGTCTCAGATTTGAGGCAAGTTACTGATCTCTGTGCTGCTCCTGACCTTCATCCTTACGGTGCAGTAGCACCTGCCCGAGAGAGGGCTGTGAGGATTGAATATGTTACTTCGGGGCTGCACCTAGCTTGTTATTTGATACCTGGTTACCCAATAAATATTTGCTGCTATTACTGGATTTCTTCATTTTGCTCACAGAAAACTACACCTCCATTAGATTAGCAGTAGTTATCAAACAAGTGATGATGGTTTAATGACCGTGTAAAAACCATGCAGTGGGTAATTTAATTACTAATTCTTGTACTTTCTAATAAATAGCATTAGCTATTTCCATACTAGTTTTAATTAATATTTTTTAAAATATCAACTATGACAGAATTAACTTGTGTTCCTTGTGTGTTTGTTGACACATAATTTCAAACTAGTCTTAACAGAACTACCAGTGTCACCTCAATTAATTTAATTAAAAAAGAATAACACAATTTTAAAGTCTCTTTTGCTATGGATTGATTATAAGAAAGTGGCAACTCGTAATTTGGTCTGTTTATTTCAGGTTGATACTGTAAAACGCCTGCTAATTAAAAAATTACCTCCTGTTCTTGCTATTCAACTGAAACGATTTGACTATGACTGGGAAAGAGAGTGTGCGATCAAATTCAATGATTACTTTGAGTTTCCACGAGAGCTGGACATGGAGCCTTACACGGTGGCAGGCGTCGCCAAGCTGGAGGGGGATAGCGTGACCCCCGAGAGCCAGCTGATCCAGCAGAACGAGCAGTCCGAGAGCGAGGCAGCGGGCAGCACCAAGTACAGGCTGGTGGGCGTGCTGGTGCACAGCGGGCAGGCGAGCGGCGGCCACTATTACTCCTACATCATCCAGAGGAACGGCGTGGACGGTGAGAGGAACCGCTGGTATAAGTTCGATGACGGCGACGTGACAGAGTGTAAAATGGATGACGATGAAGAAATGAAAAACCAGTGCTTCGGGGGAGAGTACATGGGAGAAGTGTTCGATCACATGATGAAGCGCATGTCATACAGGCGCCAGAAGAGGTGGTGGAATGCCTACATCCTCTTCTATGAGCGACTGGACACCATAGACCAAGGTGATGAGTTGGTGAGATACATATCCGAGCTGGCCGTCACCAGCAGGCCCCGTCAGATCGTCATGCCCTCGGCCATCGAGAGAAGCGTGCGCAAGCAGAACGTGCAGTTCATGCATAACCGGATGCAGTACAGCTTGGAGTATTTTCAGTTCATGAAAAAATTGCTTACGTGTAATGGTGTTTACTTAAACCCTCCTCCCGGTAAGTGCCAAAAGCATGCAGCTGCTTCATGACAAAGCATGGTCCTCCTCTCCTGGCAGGGTTTCTCCAGAGGCGTCAGCATGTTTGGTTTCACATTTGGTGGTTTGCACTCTTATTGCAGAAGACTTCTCTTTAAGAATGGGAGCTTTTGTTTATTATAACGGTTGGCTTTTTATTTGAGCATTAGTTTGGAATGTGCTTTAGAGAACTAAGAATTATTTCATGTCCTAGCCAGTTTGGCTCAGTGGATTGAGCATTGGCCTGTGAACTGAAGGGTCCAGGGTTTGATTCTGGTCAAGGGTTGCAGGCTCAATCCCCAGTAGAGGGCATGCAGGAGGCAGCCGATCTGTGGTTCTCATCGATGTTTCTCTCTCTCCATCTCCCTTCCTCTCTGAAGTCAATTAAATATATTTAAATATATATAAATATATATATTTGAATTATTTAATGAGTAAACTTTTGAGGAATGGTGGGAATGTATGCTTGTTTGAAAATGGGTTTGAATATAGAAATTGGTCTCATTTTTATGTCTGTTTTATTTATAGGGCAAGATCACCTGTTGCCTGAAGCAGAAGAAATCACCATGATTAGTATTCAACTTGCTGCTAGGTTCCTCTTCACCACGGGGTTTCATACCAAGAAAGTAGTCCGTGGCTCGGCCAGTGATTGGTATGGATTTTCCATATGGCAATGGATTTTCCTTCCTATTCTACTAGCATTTAGTTTGGTTCTTTTATTTTTTTTTTCCTAACCATAATAATCTTGTTTCAGATTGGAATACAGAATTTAAAATCTCTTGGTAGCAATAGTGAGAGAAAGCACACTGAAGTAATTATTTAATAATAAGCATGGCCTTTTATTAGTAAAGGCAGGCTTCTGCTTCTACTGTTTCGTATCGTCTTTGACCTCCCCTGTACAAAAGATTACAGGATGATCGTTAAAAATCTGAACTTTTGATCAGGAAATAATGCATTTTAGCTTTCCTATATTAAATAATGCCATAGATGAAAAGGGTAAAGAACGAGCTTTCTGTGTTTCTAATTGTGACAGTGTAAAAGGCCATTATAATGCGTTAATTTAACGATTTTTACTTACCAGTGGTAAGATGGTTAAGGGTGGGGCAGGTGCTGTTTTACCATCGTGAACCTAGCAAGAGTTTGATAATAGACCTATAGAGAAAAACATACAAGACTTTGTCTATTCTGTCTCTTTGTGAGAATAGACCAAGTCATAGTACTCATCTGTCATTTCAGTACTAGTACCAGCAGCACCCTCCAGCAGTAAGAGGTTTTTGGGTTTTAGTTGATTCAGAGAGACCCACCCTGTACTACGTGAAACATGTTCCTGAATTGCTGTTCATAGACTTTTTTTTCTTTATATCAGGTATGATGCACTGTGTATTCTCCTTCGTCACAGCAAGAATGTGCGCTTTTGGTTTGCTCACAACGTCCTTTTCAATGTTTCCAATCGCTTCTCTGAATACCTCTTGGAGTGCCCCAGTGCGGAAGTGAGGGGCGCGTTTGCAAAGCTGATCGTTTTCATCGCGCACTTCTCCTTGCAAGATGGCCCGTGCCCTTCGCCTTTTGCGTCTCCTGGACCTTCTAGTCAGGTAATTGCTCGGGGTTTTTAGTTACAAATAAATTCTGTTTCCTGGAAGTTGAAGTCACATATATGTGCCCCTCTCACATATTTACCTAATGTACACGTGTGCCCACACCACACAACGTGTTGTCTGTGGGTTCCATTTAAAGGAGTTCACAGCAATGAATAGTGATTATTGGCTCTTGAAAATTTCCCATTTTCTCTGTTGAATCATTTGTATGCGGTGACATAATTATACACTTACTGTTAAATAGACTTTTTAAAAAGTAGAATAGTATGAAGGCTCTATTATGAAATCTACCTTGGCTCTTCATTCCCTTTTCTAACAAGCAACCCTTTCTAATCACTTTGTCATCAGTCCTTCTAGAAACTTGCCTGTATTCGACATACACATGTGTGTGTCCCTTTTTCATGTGAATTGAAGTGTGTCATGCCTGCACCTGTTTCTGAAGAGCCGCTGATGTGTTCTCCTCCGCAGGCTTATGACAACCTGAGCCTCAGCGATCACCTGCTGAGAGCGGTGCTGAACCTCCTGAGGAGGGAGGTCTCGGAGCACGGGCGCCATCTGCAGCAGTATTTCAACCTGTTCGTGATGTATGCCAATTTAGGTAAGAACTGGGTTTCCGTAATGCCGGTTAGTGTATTCAGTGGTGGAGTCATTGAAGTCGAGTGGTAAGACATAACCTGGTGTGAAATACAGTGTTCCGTAGACGCTGGTATGAATTTAATGTGAAACTCCTTTCACTGCCCTTTTCACCTTGTGCTGTAGCTCTGCACGTGTCTTACCTCTGCAGCAGGCACAGGTCAGAGTCTCTGGCTCAATCAGATTGTTCTCCCGAAGCAGCGGTGCCAGATCTGTCTGTCTGGTTTTTTAAATGCTGATTCCTAGTCTCACCCCATCCCAACCAACTGAATCAGAACTCTCAAGGCCAGCCCAAGGCACCCCCATTTTTAAAAGGTCCCCAGGTTGTATGTTCTCACCAAGTTGAGTGAAGGACTGACTTTTACATAAGTTTTTGTTGAAGTAAAGTCACTTACAGTTAAGAATAATATGAATATTCACTTAAATGACCTTGTTGTTGATGCTATTACTTCGTGTAACAACACTCGTAGTAACCTGCTCCTCCCTCACCTGGTCATTTCCTTGCCGGGATCCTGTAATTCTTGCCCTGGCAGAACGCCTTACTGGGGGCCGGCTGGGGGGAGTCAATGGGGAAAGGGGGGCGGTATATGTAATACTTTCATCAGTAAAGAATTATTTTAAAGAAAGACATTAAAAAGAAAGTATGCTGTTCTATCTTGCACTTACTGTTTTGACAGTGTTCAGTCTTTGGTGTTTGTTGAATAAAATAGATGGGTACTTGGTGTGATTGGCATGTTATGGTCACTGTTGAACCATCTTAATACTTTTTAGATTCAGTACAACTCAGTAGATTTCTGTGCTGGTTAAATAATTCTCTAATCACAAAAGTTATAGAAAAATACTTCAGATGCCTACTTTATTATTGAAACCTGTATCATCTCAATTAATTCCTCTCATAATTCTTCTCTGTCTCCCTCTTCCTTGTAGGTGTGGCCGAGAAGACACAGCTTCTGAAACTGAGTGTGCCTGCCACCTTCATGCTTGTGTCTCTGGACGAAGGCCCAGGGCCTCCCATCAAATACCAGTATGCTGAGCTGGGCAAGCTGTACTCAGTAGTGTCACAGCTGATCCGCTGTTGCAATGTTTCGTCCAGAATGCAGTCCTCAATCAATGGTAAGTCAAATGCTCTGGTCCTCACAGTGGTTCCGAAATTCTGCTGGGCATGCGCAGTTCCCAGTTAAAGTAATTCTGCCCTAACTGGTTCGGCTCAGAGGTTAGAGCATCGGCCCGAAGAATGAAGGGTCCTGGGTTCAATTTTGATCCAGGGCCTGGCTCAACCCCCAGCCCTGATTGGGGGGGCGTACAGGAGACTGCCGAAGGATGACTCATCATTGATTCTATGTCCCTCTCCCTTTCCCTTCCTTTCCAAAATCAATAAAAATGTTTCTTTAAAAAAGAATCCTTCTATTAAAAAATTAAATAAATAAATGTGAAACGAGACCGAAGGTTTATGCTGTTTTTTCTAAAATAGAAGTTTAAAAGCCCATAAGCTGTTTTGTATGCTGGCAGCTCTGTACTGTTGTGAAGGAGCTATTGGTTTTTCATTGATGGCACATCTGTATTCTAGGTAATCCTCCTCTTCCCAACCCTTTTGGTGATCCCAATTTATCACAGCCTATAATGCCAATTCAGCAGAATGTGGCAGACATTTTATTTGTGAGGACAAGCTATGTGAAGAAAATCATTGAGGATTGCAGTAACTCGGAGGAAACCGTCAAACTGCTTCGTTTTTGCTGCTGGGAGAATCCTCAGTTCTCATCTACTGTCCTCAGTGAACTTCTGTGGCAGGTTAAAGAAAAATCAACATTCCTATATCGATCATTTGGTTGGTTGTCCTTCCGATAAGGTGCTCACTGTGTCTGGCCTGCTTTCAGGTTGCGTACTCCTACACTTACGAGCTGCGGCCCTATTTGGACCTGCTTCTGCAGATCTTGCTGATTGAGGACTCCTGGCAGACGCACAGGTAGGCGCCTTGTGTCTTACAAACAGAAGCTTAAGAACCAACAAGAAGTTTTTCTCATCACTTTATTTGATTTTTACTCCCTCCTCTTATTGCCCAAATTGCATGCTTAACATAGTAACGTTTTTCTTTCTAAATTAAGGAAAACTAGGATAGGCTTTTGGTAAATATTTTCATTTTATTAATGCTCCAGGGCCTAGGCTTTTTTTAGAATTAGATTACATTTTTGAGTTGGTCACATGAGATAACATTTGCTTGTGTAAAAATAGTTGTGCCTTGGCTGGGTAGCTTGGTGGTTGGAGCATCATCCTGTACACCAAAAGGTGGCGGGTTCGATCTCCAGCGGGGCTGTATATGGGAGCCAACCAATTGCTGTTTTCTTTCTCCTCCTCTCATCCACTGTCTCTAAAACGTCAATGGGAAAATATCCTCCCGTGAGGATTAACAAAAAAATTAAGTAAAATTTACCATAATGGCTTTTAGTACATTCACATGTTGCACAACCATTACCACTGTCTAATTCCAGAATATTTACATCACCCTAAAAGGAAACCCCATACCACACATCCTCTGGAAACCACCAACTTACTGCCTCTCTGGACTTTCCTATTCAGAGAATGTTCAGGGTTTGCCAGGACACTTCAAATAAGTGGAGTCACAATTGTCCTTCTGTGACCACTTACCTCCTTAGCGTGATGTTTGCAAGCTCATCTGTGTTAGAGCACACATCAGTGCTTTGTTGCTTTGCTGAACAGTAATCCACTGTGGATATACCACGTTTTGTCTACTGGCGCGTGGGGTTTGAACACAAAAGAAACAAGGCACATGCTTGCCCCACAATCGTTTTTTTAAAGTTTGTTTCATTTATTTTTACATATTTTTATTGATTTCTGAGAGGGAGAGAGAGAGAAACATGAATGATGGGAGAGAATCATTGATTGGCTGCCTTCTGCACACTCCCTTCTGTGGATTAAGCTGCAAGACGTGCATGTGCTCTTGGCTGCAATCGAACCCGGGACCCTTCAGTATGCAGGCCAACGCTCTAGCCACTGGGCCAAACCGCCTAAGGCCACACCCGTTTTTTAAATTGCTCATGGAGGGCCAGAACAATAAATCATTGACTGCACGTTGTTCTGTTGTAGTTTGGCAGGCGTTGAAATGAAATCATCCTTGGCCAGGCAGCCCAGTTGTATTGCTGGGGAAAATTGTTTTGCCTGCCACATACTCTCATTATTAGAATTCAAGTTAATTCTGGATTTCCAAAGTATGTCACTGTGTCCGAGTCCCCGGATTGTAACTTACCTTTGGAAATGCAGTTTTAGAAAAGGAACTGATGGAGCAAGTTCTTAAGTACTTAGTTGTTATAAACTTTAATTTTTAAAGTTTGTATTACTCTGTCACTTCTGGTCGTGTATTTTCATTCCATACCTAGCAAAATCATTTTGAAATTGTTAATAAATTGGTAAGAGCCTCACTACTAGGAAGCTATATGGCCTTGAGCAAGCTATTTAACCTCTGCCCCTTTTCTCATCTATCCAAGGGATTGGTAGCTACCTACTGTCTAGCACTAGAGTACATGACTGCGTCAAAGATACTGAGTGGCACGTAGTAGGCACTCAATAAATGTTAGCTGCTATCTGATTTTAGACGTTTTTATTTTCTATCTGGTTCTCTTTCAGAATTCATAATGCACTTAAAGGAATCCCAGATGACCGAGATGGGCTGTTTGACACAATCCAGCGCTCTAAGAATCACTATCAGAAGAGAGCGTACCAGTGCATAAAGTGCATGGTGGCTCTCTTTAGCAATTGTCCTGTTGCTTACCAGATTTTGCAGGTGAGGATTTTCTCTTACAATTTTGTAGAACTCTTGAGTCAGAATGAAGGAGATCAGAATCATGAGAATTTGGAGTCGTCGTCTTTAAGTTCACTTTGAAAAGGATCCCAAAACCTTTGGCATAAATCGTTTTCTTTTGAAGGGCAATGGCGATCTGAAAAGAAAGTGGACCTGGGCAGTGGAGTGGCTCGGAGATGAGCTCGAAAGACGACCGTACACTGGCAACCCTCAGTACACGTATAACAACTGGTCCCCTCCGGTGCAAAGCAATGAGACCTCAAATGGTTATTTCTTGGAGAGATCGCATAGTGCTAGGATGACCCTTGCAAAAGCTTGTGAACTCTGTCCAGAGGAGGTAAACAAAGCCACCAGTGTGCAGCAGATAGGAATGGAAGAAACCAAAGTAATTCTTTACTTCATAGGCTAGTGTTTATGTGTTAATAATGTGGAAATATGATGTTGGGGTCTTGGCTTCCGTGCTTACTACGTGTGGTCTTAAGTAATTGAGAGCGTGCCTTCTTGAGAAATTTCTATAAAATTGCCTGAAATGTAGTAATTCTAAGAGAATCCAAACCAGGAATTTTTTTTAATTGTTTTAATTTGTTTATCTGCAGTAAAAGAAAAATTGTTAGTGGGTCAGTTTTATCAATATTTTAATTGTTTATTTTAAACTAGAAGCCCGGTGCATGAAAATGCACTGGAGGGGGATCCCTCAGCGTGGCCTCTCCCCTCTCACAGTCCAGGAGCCCTCAGGGTGGGAGGCAACCCGGTGATGGGGGGTGGGGGTAGGTGACACCCCATCACACCTCCATTGCTGCCACTGCTGGCAGCACAAGCCTTTGCCAGCCCTGGTTACGTGAGCCTTGGGCGGGCCTGGGCAGGTGGGCAGCCACCATCCAAGGCTTGCTGCACCTCAGGCTGGCACTGGGGGGCTGAGGGGACTGGGGGGACTGGGGGACTCTGGAGGCAGGCGCGTGGGGAGGGCCCGGGCATGCCACGCTCCTGCCGCCCAGGCGGGGCTGAGGGGACTGGGCGCCGCCATCTTGTGGCTGTGGACACTGCCGTCTTTGAGGGTGTGGCAGTCTATCCGCTGTGGGCTCCATGATCTTTGTGGGGTTGTAACAGCAATAAACATATTCCCTCTTTATTAGATAGGATAGAAAAAAGGTTAAAATAAACGTGAGTTTGCCTGTGTGATTCTTTGTCTTTAAATCTCTAACACTAGGAGCCAGATGACCAAGACGCGCCAGATGAGCATGAGTCGCCTCCCCCTGAAGATGCCCCACTGTACCCCCACTCCCCCGGATCTCAGTATCAACAGGTACATGGGCGTCGGGGGGGTTTTATCCCTGGGAATTAAGTCTTATGCATATTTAAAGGATGGCTTCTTTTTTGTTGTAACGCAAGTAGAAGAGGGATTATGTAGACGAGCTTTGGGGGCGTGATCAGACGGAGCCTGATTGGAGGAAGGTGAGATGGGGAGTCTTTCTGGTCAGCTAGTGCCCCTCTTACTAGGAGGGAAACCTGGCAAATGGCGATAATTTGTGTCAACATAAACAGAGTACTGTACAAAGGATTATGACAACATCTGTTAGGCTTAGTCTGCAAATGGATTGTGAGGACGTTAACATGTAGGATTTCTTGGTTATTTAGCCTAACAAGACCGTGAAAGTGGTTGGGGGGAAATCAAGGATTTATTAGTTCCATCAATTTCCTGTAAAATCAATAAATAAAGTTAGGATGAAGAAACTTTCAAAGTGAGAGTTCTTTCTAAAACCCAGTGTGATCAGTTCAGGCCTTTGGAGGCAGCAAAGCCCCTGGTGGGCCCTGCCGCCCGGAGCTGCCCATTTGGCTTTTAGCGAGTTCCCAGGAGCCAGCCTTTCCGATCCCGCTGAGGCGTTCTTCCCCACGTGTCAGGGGGAAGCACGTTATATGGTTAGAGATTGCGTGTTAGGCTTTCCATGATACTAACTAGAGAAAGCTATCAGAAAAGTCGGCGCAGCCTGGCTGGCGGGATTGGGCGGAAAAGGGCCGGGTTCGGTGGAGCATGTGGGCGCCTGGAGGCAGCAGAATAGGTTGCTCTGGCTCCCAGTTGATTCTCTGTGACCGGGAGTGGTGGTGAGCTGGGTCCCTTCGCTGTCAGCCGGGGGTGACACTGAAGATCACTTAGGCAACGGCCTGCGCTGCCTGGGGCTTTGGGTTCGCATTTAGGCTTTTCTCTTCCGGCCACTATTTCCTCCCCAGTGGGGGCCACACCTTTCTCTTCTCTGGGAAGTCCCAGGGATCCTAGAAGTGTTGACATGTCCACCAACTTCAGCCTGTGCTTACGAGGTTTCAGGTTCACACGCCTGTGTCCTCTCTCCTTGCAGAACAACCACGTGCACGGACAGCCGTACACCGGCCCCGCGGCGCATCACATGAACAACCCGCAGCGAGCTGGTCAGCGAGCACAAGAAAACTACGAGGGCAGCGAAGACGTGTCCCCGCCGCAGACGAAGGATCAGTGAAACGCACACGCCTAACTGGTTCCATCAAGACTGTGCACCCAGGCCTTACAGTCCAACCTTTTTCTGTGTCTGGCTAATATTTAAAACTAAAAAAAAAAAATACAAAAAACAAAAAACAACAACAACAAAAAAAAAAACTATTCCTAATCAACATGGAGTGGAAAGTTTATTCACTGTCTTATCTGCAGAAACTTGCTGTCCATATATAACCCGCCTGCAGTGGAAAGTGTATAGTGTTTTGTAATAAATGGCCTGATGCTAATGTGTAAATGGCAAAGGTGTATATAGTATATTAATGTTTGACTGTTAATTCTTGAGCAAGAACCTTTTTTCTTGATGAGACTCGCAAATCTGCAAAAGCGACAGAGTTCATTTTCCCGTTCTCCCCATGCGCTCGGCGGCCAGCGGTGTGCCCAGCAGCCGGCCAGCCCCTTCACCAAAACACCATAACCGACAGCAGCCCAGCAGCCGTCCGTGTCCCCGCACCCATAGGTCCCGTTCCTTCTCTGCCACCGGAGTCGGGCTCGTTCTGGGAGCGGGGGGCTGCCAGCCTGGAGATGGCTGGGTTGATGTGGCACGTTGGTGAGGTTTGTTTCTAGCTCTTTTTCGTTGCCTTTTCACTCGGATCTTAGTTCATCCTTTCGAAGCTGTAGTTCCGCTGTGACATTTAGCATGGCTTCCCACGGGTTAGTGTAGCCAGTGAGGACAAATCACCAGGACGGCGCTGTCCCAGGCGACAGCCGTCCCAGACGCTCAGCTTTTCCTTCTCCGCCTAGAACATAACCCTGCAAACAAGGGAGAACCGGGCCACCAGGCGGTTTTCGGTTAGTTTCACACGTTGCTTACACCTGTTGGACAGTTATATCTTTGGGTGGGATAGAGAGACAAGTGTCAGTGATGGGAATTTTAAAACATTTAAGACAAATATGCAAAACTTCGCTATGTCAGGATGCTCGGAGCCTAATAGAAGACTGTATTTGGTGTGCTTGTTTTGTTTCTTTGGTAGAGCTTATTAGGTGTGTTTTCTCGAATTTTCCTTCTGGATCGCAGTGAAGCGGAAGTCCCCAGCCCCACAGAGCTTGGTGCCGCTGCACCGAGGCATCCGGTTGAGTTTGCTCAGCCAGTTTTACTTGAAAGCAAGAATCGTCCTGGTTCCTTTTCCCTGACCCCAGAAGGTTTCACGTTTGAAGCAGGGTCTGATGAAGGAGGACTACTGGTTAGTTGCCATCATTGAGGTCTGGTGATTTCCGAATAAACACTGACTGAAAGATCAGAAACGCATCGGTTATACTGTATTGGAAAGAGCTGGTACCTTGAATCTGTAAGTTTTTGGAACCTGTCTAGAAACCAAACACCCCTGCACACAGATGCCGTCCCCCCGACTCAATATGTTGAAATGTTTTGCTGTTTTGTTTTGTAGAAATTATTTTGCTCAGTTCACAAATAGAGTTTGATTTCAAAGAGCTTTTTGTCTTGGTGTGGTGGTGTTTCTGTCCTTTTTTCCTGAAGGACTGCACATGGAAGTGAGCTCTGCACAGCGGCCCTGGTCCCCTGGGGTCCTGTGCACGGGGAGGGCTGGCCTCGGCCCTTCGCTGAGGGTTTAGGGAAACGGGACCTGCCCCGGGACAGCTCCCAACAATCAATCTTGTACTTTTTGTATGTTTTTTATATACATGTGTATTTAACGAGCACAAGCTTGGTTGTACTTTTTAAAGTTCAGTTAACAGGAAACTTGTCAAAAGGCTGTGGTTGGAACGGAGCGAAGCAGAGACAGCATTGTGGTCAGAGGGGAGTGTTTCAGAGGGAGCTTTGGTATCTTGCATTTCTCTGCAGTCCATCTGCGCTTCCAGGGTTTCTGTGACACTAGGGAATTTTGACACCAGATAGATCCTGTTTTCTACCTTAAATATATTACATCTGAACGTTCCGTTTGATGGGAGCTGTTTACAACTCCATTTGGTAATTTCTCCTTTAAAAGCTCCTCACTTCCAAGCTTCCTTAGCAATAGGTCCACCTGATCCGGACAAGTGGCCTCATGACACACCATCTCGCCATCCAGGGGCAACTGGCGTTCCCTACTTCTAACAGATGCACTTCCTTTAGCGACTTGAATGGCTTGGCGTTCTAGAAGGCTGTGGATTTTCTCCTTGGAGGGCGCTCCAACCGTGGTTGCTTTCCGTGTACAGGCCCCTGTGCCAGGTGAGGCTGGGACTCCGTCTTGTCTTCCCTCCATTTGAGGAAGCGTGGTCTCTGTTGTGACCAGGGTCAAGGGTAAATGAACAGAGTTATTTTTGTTTGTTTGTTTGTTTGTGCAGATTATTTTCTATATTTAACTCTTAAACAAGCATTAATGTATAACCGGAAATTTTAAGATGCATGTTATTGTAAGAGCAACGTAGTGGTGATTTTGAGATCTTTTTCTGAACATAAATGGCACATTTTAAACTTCAAGTCTTCGAAGTGCCTAAAGATTATTTATTCCTCAACTGATTTCTTGAGCCATATATATATTTCCTACTTTCAATGTTTGTTGCGGAATCGCTAGTCTTCCTTTCGAAGAAGTATCCCCAGAATTCTAAATGGCATGATTCCTTTCTAGAAGACGGTAGAAGCTGTTGACATAAAGACTGAAGATACTTTCACTGTTCATCTGTGGGCCAGGGCGTTGCCCTGTTGGACCGAAGTGTTTTAGTGCACACCTTGGCGACAACCATATTGCTGCTGTTTCTAAGCCCTCCACCAAGAAATTTCCATGTTCAGCATCCTAGAGGCAGAAATAACAATCCTATTTGGGGTTTTGTCTTTCGTTGATTTTTCTCAGTAATAATTTCCCAACCTTGTGTCTTTTAGCTCTTATGTATACAAATTTAGAATTATTAAAATGTTTTATATTTTTTCATGGTTAACTTTTATTAGCGAATAACAACTACTTAAGTATTTAATCCTTGTAGTGGTTCAAAAGATGAGGGTCCTTTTTTTATTTGCATTACCTTTCTAAACGAAAGCAGCAGTCTGAATATTTCAGATAACTCCAAAAAGAGTTCCTTTCAAGTGTTTTTGAGTATTTTTCCAGCTTACGTTCTCCAAGAACTCTGCTGAATTTTGTGGTTCATTTGGTGGATATCCTGCCTTATTTAGAATTGTAACTGGATAAGAAAATTGCCTTTTCATTCATTATAAGTGCCCGATTTTGGTCTCTAGTTTGAAGGTACCTACATACTGCCTAGTGAATAGAACACGCCCTCCCCCCGCCCCCAGTTTTGTGTTACCGGGAAAACCATTCAGTACTGGTTCATAGTAAGGCTCAACCGGAATTGGTCCCGCACCGATGGGAGTGTTCAGTGTTCGGAAAGTTTTGGGTGTGATTCGCTGCAAAAATGCTCGATGTATTACCTTGCTGCCGATTGTATTTCTGACGATTGGTTTGTTTGCAAAATGTAGCACTTCTCCTCCAAACTTAGAGGTGTGAGAAAAAAGGGGGAAAGATACATCATGTTTTAAACTTGGAAATCAGTGAAATGTTTTTAATTTTGAAACCCAGATTCCCAAAAGGAAATTTCACCACCAGATCACACACTTCTCGGCCTTTTTCAAGCCGAGACTGACTGAAGATTGTCCACAGGTCTAAGATTTAGCACATATACAAAAATAAAACTTTATAAATTAAACATCGGCTTTCCCTTTGATTTATTGAAATAATTCTAAATGAAAGGTAAATTAGAGGTGTGATCGATTTGAACAGGATTTATAAAGGGAAGTGTTCGTAATCCCGCCCTCACTGTATATTCAAAGCATATTCACATCTAAGTTCAAAAATGGAGTTATGTAATTGCTGACAACTGTTCCTTCTAAAATCAAGATTCAGCAAACACTTTGGTGTTTAAAAGTTCCTCGAAATAAATAATGAGCAACGAAGCAGGGTACATGTTTTCATGGGAGTTAAGTGAAAGTTGTGCTGCCCGTGTGGCTCAGTGGTGGGTGTTGACCTATGAACCAGGAGGTCAGAGTTCGATTCCCCCTCAGGGCACGTGCAGCGGTTGCAGGCTCCATCTCCAGTGTGGGGCGTGTAGTAGGCAGCCCTTTGATGATGCTCATCATTGATCTATCTCCGTCTATGAAATCAATAAAAACATTTTTTAAAGGGAAACTCCATCAAACATTTCAGACCCAGGTGAAAATGAGTGGATAATTTTAAAGACATTCCACTTACATGTACAAAACTAAAAGGGGGGTGGTTTGAGGATCTTGTGTTCCGCCGTTAGAATATACTGCATCTCATCACGTCACAGATCTCAGATGCAGCTGGCCAAATCAGCTGGCTTTCAGGGATATTAAACGGGGGCGGGGGGGAGGGGGTCCTGACCCGTGTGGTTCAGTGGATAGTGTTGGCCTGAGGACTGAAGGGTATCCCAGATTCAGTTCCAGTCAAAGGCATGTACCTTGCTTGTGGGCACTCCCCAAGAGGGAGTGCAGGAGGCAGCTGATTGATGTTTCTCAGGTGTTTCTAACTCCCTCTTTCTCTGAAAAATCAAAAAAATATATTTTAAAAAACAAAATGAAAACGGGGGGGGGGGGGAGATCCCATTAGGTAACAATCCATGTCAAGCATATGCTTGTGAACAGCTTGAATTAGCAAGTGTTCGTTGTGGGCCCTCTTGCTTCCTTTGCCCTTTAAGCTGGTGGGCTACAGAAACCCTATTTGCGGGATTAACAGCGGCCCGTTGACAAGAGCTGTTAACAGCGCTCTACGAACGCGGTCTTGAGCCCAGGGTTCTTTTCAGCGGCGGCGGCGAAGTAACATTCCAAAACTGAGAACCCATGAGCCAGATCAGGGTTCGATGCCCGGTCAGGGCACTGGCCCGGGTTGCGGGCTCCATCCCCCGTGTGGGGTGTGCAGGAGGCAGCCGATCCATGGTTCTCATCATGGATGTTTCTCTCCCTCTCCCTCTCTGATACCTATAAAAACAAAAACACAAAACAAAACGAAAAAATAGAAAAAACTGGTAAATTCGGGAACATCGATAGCGTACTGTCTGTGTGAGCAAGACCCTCCAAAGGAATGGATGGTGTTTGTCTGAAGCGGCCGCGGCTCCCGGTTTGAATGGCGAGCTCCATGGCGGGGAGGGGGGCTATACCGTGCCCCCCACCCCCCCCTTGGGGAACAGAACGCTAGGATCTGATTTTCTCACGGGCCTTCAGGAGCGAGCAGAGGACGGTGTCCAGGCCGGTCCAGTTTTCCTTTGGGAAAAGGAAAGTGCTGGGCCCCGGTTTGGCAACGAGGGGGCTTTGA